CTTTTTTAGGCGGTAACGTGATTTTAAATAATTACGAAAATTAATAAAATGGCCAAAACGTGGCAACAACGGAGTTAAATTAAAATTTCTTTGGCATAGGTCGATAGAACGTAATTTTTTGCATCTTTTGGTATAAATACGAGCTCTGTAACTGCATTTCTCCGAAAGTTATGGATGTTTGAAGGTTACGACTTTAAAAAATGGCAACGCTGTTTCCCTGGGGTTCCTGCAAAAACGGAGCTAGGGATAAGCCTCTCTCAACTAGTACTATCAGCCCACAAAGTTTCGTACATTCCGGGCTGGGTACATTTTTCGCCTATATGAATAACCCTCTTTAACTGTCGCACAGGGCATACCTTTAGTGGAAAGTCTGCAATCATCAACATTAAACATTTCCTCTTCAAGGCAACCTTATCTATTTTTAGCCGTGACAATTTTATCAAGAAGTAATTTTTCAATGTTAGCTAACCTCCGACACAAGTTTTACATGGTTGTGTCACCACCAAAATAGTGAAGCAACCTAAACCTTAAATTATAATTTATAAGAAACTGCACCAGAAAGTGGGAGAAAGAGAAAAGGTAGAATGTGTTCCAGGCTCCTTCCTCAAAATGATTTTTCGAACTCCCTGCCAACACTTACATCTCCAACTTAATGAGGAATTACATAGTTATGAGTTTTGTTCAAAGTTTTCTATGCTTACTAACACTTTATATCTAAATTGGAACATTCAAAAATCAGACTTGTCGTCAGACAAGGGAATGACCCTGCTTCCATTTCAATCAACTTTACCTCCTGGAGTTGTACTCCATCGATTTCTCTACCTCCCTAATTTTTGTGTGCCCGTTACTTGAAACATTTTATGTTCAAGTCTCTTTTAAAGCTTAGTTGTAGTCGTGCATTTTCTTCATTAGTTAAACAGAACATATTTATCTTTGTTGCTCTTAATGAAATATTTTATGCTTCCAAGTTCCTTCTTGAAGTGCTGAGTCTTTAAAAATGTGTTTAAAATTGAGAAATCTTTAATAATTGTAAATGTTCTTGGAAAAAATAGATTCAAATTTATTACTGTTACCTGATCATTGCATTAAATATTTAAAATTCTCAACAGTGTCCATTGATGTTGTCCATTAATCTTATCTTCTAGTAAAATTCTCACTAGGGAAGTTTCAAAGTGATGTTTTTCCCTTTGGTGCTACACCGGTGCTAGAATTTAGGCACCATTCATCTGTTTAGCCACACTCTGTCAGATTTTTTTTTCCGCCCATAATGTGTTGTCAATAAAATATTGTAAAGGTGAACGTTTTTCTTTTAAAGAAATCCAATTGTGGTAATTTCATAAATTTGAAAGATTATTGTAGTAGAAAAAATTATCTCAATTAAAAGGACGAGTAATAGAGCAACCAATCAATAATTTAAACAAGAAAAAACAGGGGAAAATGCGTGCGGGTTGTGCAGAACATGCTGTCTCAGCTGCCAAGTAACAGTTCTCGTACTTACAAGTCATCCAAAATTGTCAGAGTGAATAACGTATCCAGTACACCAGAGCTGGCGTTTACCAGTGAGGTTACCCAGGCTTCAGTGTTGTCAAATTAAATGTGTATTTGATAGGGTATTTAAAAAAGATTAGAAGCCTGTGCGGAAGGGGTCTACCTATATGTACCTAAAAAAAGCACGTGAAGGGATATATTCTCGCTGCATCTCAAGCCTAAATTTTGCATTTTTTCATGGTCGAAATGAAGAATTATCCAGGTACAATTTTATGTAATCCAACCAAAAATCTGCACCAAAGTTAACCTGAATCTTAAGAACAAAATATAGTTTTGAAAGAAGACATGTACCTCAAGATTCCAAACATAACTCAATTCTTAATTATTAGCCTTATCAATAAATATGTTGCAATGATTATGTAATAGTTTTTGCGTAAAGAGTTTGTGAGCATTTTAAGAATAAGTTTATTTTGCATGTATTTTTGTATTTGTTTGTGAATATTTGTTTTTTACAAAAACTATTCATGCTTCCGCCCCTATTATATCTCAAAATTTTCCCAAGTGTTTATTCGCTGCTCTTTTTAAAATTTGCACTGTGAAGTTTTGATTTTTAATACATAGATGAAACAGTAGTCCTCACCTCCTAATATTCCAATTAGTTTCTCATTACCGTCAGAGTTGAACATTATTTATGTTCTGAACTTTTCCTCATTTTATAAACCTGATTGATTAAGTGCTATTCTTCTGAAATTGCTACGTGTTGCCTTTCAAAAGAGAATTCCTTCTGCCAAGTATTGAGTTGAGTGATTCGTTCTTCTAATAATTGCTATGAAAACATTCCATAAGATTGAATAGGGAACGTGCTTAGATTACCTATTTTATTCTTACCCAAGAACTTCTAGACATCAGCGAATTCTTGACAAATACACTTAACGTGCTTCCCTCTTTTGCTATATCTCAAAATATGTGTTTTATAATTCAATGTTAACCGTACATATTATTAAGATAATATTTTTATAATTATTTACTTTTCTTTTCAACTCTCAATTTTTCTTATGTATTATCGTCTGTTTTACTTTTTTTCATAAAGTATAATTTCGATTTATGAAATTGGTTTTAAATCATTTTAGTTCTTTTTTTCATAATCAAAACCCTCTTTGAAGATACAATAACTCCTTGCCTCAATAATATATTATTAAAAAGAGGGAACTGCTTTAAGCCTTGCATTCCGGAGGAAAAAGAAGTAAGGTGATATCACATCTGCGGGTCGATTGTTGAGTCGTTATCGAATGACCTTGATCGATATATAGCATTGTGAAGATAGGGATTTATCGATCGAGATCATTCGATAATGATTCAACAATCGACCTGCAGGTATCTGGAGAATTAGTTGTACTGTTAGGTATTTCCTACTTTGAAGTGGGCTGTTAAACTTTCTGACACCAATTCCAAAAATTTGAGACTGTTCTCCAAGTATGATCTTACTTATTTGAGAGCAGTGCGGAAGTAGTTCGTAGAGAATTTGAAAATATTTTTCCTAAAAAATGCAATGCAAATTTTCGGCTCCTATTTTATTTTTCTGAAGAGAAACAAGCCAAGTTTATAAATTGAACTTCATACTGAATATTCTGCTAACAGAGGAGAAAAATTACGGAAGTTTTCAAGAAATTATGTTGCGTAGTTTCCCTCAGAAAAAATTAAGTACAACCGAAAGTCTGCAGCATCACAAACGGAGATACTTAAGTTGAATCCAAGGTTAGATTAGGGTTAATTCAAGATCAGAGATAGTGCCACCAGTCACCCTTAAGAATATCACCTTCATTCGACGATTATTGAAATAGGTAATATTGATCGAATTACAAAAAGCAGATCCACAAGATATAGATTATTTTTTGTTTGATTTTTTTAGCCAAAAATATTGACAATTAGAATTAAAAGCGCTGAGAAAGTATGGCTGAAACTTTCAGCTCAGCGGCGACGGCTGAGCGCGCAACTGCAATCCCTCATGTTCTATCTCTCTTTCGCCCACTGCCGCAATGGGAATTACCCTCCGCCGTAGTTTCGACTTTATTTTAGTGAATTTAAGAAGATTTTTTTACTGAGTGTTCCTCAAGTATGTTGGTATATCCCCTGGATCCGCAATCTTGAATAAATAGTACGGTTTTTATTATTTTGGCAAACATATACGGCTAATTGGAGCAGCGCGATGTGGTGGCCAAATCGCGAAGTTTGAAGTCTAGATTTACCTCAGTTGGTTTTGCACCTCGTTCATTGATATGGTTCCTTGGCATAATCTACAGATTGCTTTGAAGTGAAGATGACAATTTTAAGTCCAACATCTTTTTTAAAAGATGCCATAGGTAGACTTTAATCATAAGTAAGGCTGATGGAGGTTTTTCACCAATATTTTTGATCAACAAATCCGTACTAGATCTTTAAGAAACCCCAACTGAAAGCAGGAGTAGGTTCTTCGGGAGGACTTACATAATATCGCCCTTACAGTGTGTGTATTATGTACAGACATCATATCCAGGTCTGGTGACTGAAAAAAGAAAGAATGTAGGGGAGGGATAAATTCTCAAATATGAATTGCCCTTTCCATAGAGTATATAACAAATATGCTGAGGTTACAACCTCTCGCTGCAAGCTCTAGTGTCTTAATCAGGGATAGTACCTAGGGCCTAAATTTTCTAATAGATTTTGGCAAACTCTCATTTTAAAAAATTGAAAGCCTAATAATTTCCTGGAAATCTGGATGTCCATGTAAAATGCAAAAAATCAAGGAAATCACACTGGTAAATTTCCAGAATTAGGAATGAATCCTCATCATAGCTTTGTTTTTGTAGGGAAGATAGGATTAAAACATTTTAAAAGCTCTGGGTGGCGTTTCTTGGACCTAACTGGTAAATTTTGGATTTTCAAGAACATATTAACATCCATTACTTATACATTATTATCAAACGGAAACCTCAGAAATTCTTTTTATTGTTAATATAGGTACCTACAGGGAACAAACTGGAATAATTTTCGGCACCAATGAGTTTATTGGATTTACTTATGAGAATCAATGCTATTTCTGAGTTTGAGACTTCTTTGAAAGAGAATTCAAACAAATCTCAATTTGTTTCAAAAATTTACAGGTTGCTATACTTAAATTGCTATCTCGTGATAAAATTGTTGCTACTGCATTGGAATGTTGTGTGTGTTGCTTTCCTAACAATTGGAAGGGTTCAGCTTGTATGTAAAAATTCATTGCAGAAAAAGAGAAATAACAAGTTTCGATCTTACCTACTCTATATTGCAAATTTATTATCTCTTCCATACATAGAACTCATTTTATCAATTTTATAAAATCTATATTATATGTCCAAGTAAAGTAATACTATTGCAATTTCATGGTAGTAAATCTTTAATTTGCTTTCCTTAAATTACAACTTTATTTTAATATTCTTTTTTGAAAATTGCTACTGAGTACCTAATTTCCCACTAATGACGATTTAACCCTGTTCTAGGTAGACAAGTTCATGTCACACTGAACCATGATGAGACCTTGGCACAGGAAAAATCAATATCTTGAATCTCATGAAGATGAGAGTGATACCGAATCTGAGGAACTATTAGATTCAGAGAACGATTTACCATCCATGATCTGGTCAACTTTGCAAAAATTGAAGACTCCGGTCGCTTTCGCATTCAGTGCGGTCAACCCGTCGCTGCCAAATCCAGGCCTCCACCTTTTACGCCATGGAGTCATTGGTCTTCCGCTTTCAACTGATGAAGCGAAAAAAATCATTTCAGAAGCCAGTCCTTCTCCTTTTGGGAGAGGAGAAGAGACAATAGTCGATAATTCAGTTAGGAAATGCTGGGAGCTAAATCCAACTCAGTTTTCTCTCGAAAATCCAGCGTGGGATCAAGCTTTGAAAGTAATATTGGACTCAGTCAGCAAGGGACTTGGTATTTCTAAAGGAGCAGAAAAGATATCAGCAGAATTGTACAAGCTTCTTTTGTACGAGTCGGGAGCTTTCTTTAAGGCCCACACAGACAGCGAGAAAGGCCTGGGCATGTTTGCCACCCTTGTGGTATGCTTGCCCTCATCCCATGAAGGAGGGAGGCTCGTTTTAACCCATGACAATGAAAAGTATGAGTTTGAGACGGCACTATCTTCTAAGTTCAGCACATCATATGCTGCATGGTATGCGGACATTCGTCATGAAGTATTACCGATAACGTCTGGGTATCGGCTCATGCTAGTTTATAATCTCATGCGACCCTCTGACTTTGTGGTGCCATCATATAATCTTGCTTGTGAGCGAGTTCAAAAACTGTCCACACTGCTTCAACAGTATGATTTGCAACTTGAAAGTGGAGATGGTACATTGCCTCCCTTTTTGTTGCATAGACTGAAACATAAATACACCCAGGCTAATCTGAAATTTAATTTGCTCAAAAGCCAAGATCTCAATCAAGCTCTGGTCCTAAAACAATTATCAATTGAACTTGGTTTTGAAATGTATCTTGCAACTCTAGAGTTAACAATCAATGGGGATGATGGATGTGATAGTTTTGAAGAAATACAAAGATCTCAAAAATTGCAAAACATTGTAGAGCTCGATGGTAACCTCGTCGTTAAGAGTCTTTTTTGCTCAGATAATGCCTTAATTGATCCGACGCCGCAAGATGAAGCAGGGGAGGCAGACGAAGAAGATCATGAAGGTCCGACAGGAAACGCCGGGTGCCCTGCAACTTATTGGTACCGTGATACCACCGTTATACTTATCCCTCCTTCTAAGCAACTGGATTTTGCCTTTCATATGGAGTCTTATGGCGATGTTATTGAGCCTTTGTTCTCCAAGCTGATAGAGAAATATTCTCAGAATCCTACTCAAAAACAAAAGCTAGAACATCTTTGTGAATTAGCTTTGAAACGCAAAGGACAATATGGAAGGGATCTTGATTATTTGAGAGCCATTCCACATTTCTTCCAAAAAGCAGCTGCCACGGCTTTAAACGCAGGACTGTTTGAACTTTTCGATGAAGCATGCACCAAGACGACAAATAAAATTATGCTTTTGCATGATATTCCTCGAATACTAGGTTGCTGGGCTGCAAAGAGAGGTTTTGTTACCATGAGCGACAAATTGTCAAGAGCTCTGTCAGCAGCATCTTCCATTGCTGAACAAATAAACTTCCTAAGATCAGTTACTAATGGTTTTGAGGCAGGTTTGCAAGATCCATGTTCTGCCGAAGTAGCAAACTTCAAACAGTGGTCTGACAAAGCACTGTTATCAGCAATTTCACAAATCACAACGCTCACAAAAGCAGACGGAATATCACTGGGACAGCTTCCCAAAACTATGGACTGGAAGTTGTACCAATCAAACTTGATGCCTTCCATTCAGAGAGCAGCAAAAGTTGTGAAAATTTCGTTCACAAATACATTTTTGTCATCCTGTCAGCATGAACTTATTCAAGAACAGAAATCATTCATTGAGTATATCATTCAAAGTATCTGGGAAGATTTTATTTTTGACTTTACACAGCCAGGATCTGTTGTAAATTTTCCAGTCAACAAGGAGGAAATTAACGCAAGTGACTGTAACCACATAATTGAAAATACTAGCAGAATATTATCTCCTGAATACGTCGAGGCTGTAGTAATACCAGCCATGACTAATGCAATTCTGACTGCCTCAAAGAAGTGTTCTCATGAATTATTCGTCGAGCTAGTACGTATGATCCTTAAAAACGAGCTAGCAGGTTTCAGGTTTCCAACTACTGATTCAGAACCACCAACATCGCATAAATGCTTTGTTCAAGCTCTTTTAATAAAATTTCTCATCAATGATGTCGGTTTTGAACCTCAAGTACAAAATAGTTTGTCTATTCCACCTCGGTCTTGCAAGTGTAAAGACTGCTCAGTTGTGAACAACTTTTTACTGAATCCCACACAGAAACGTTTAGATTTTCCATGCTCAAAGGCTCGCAGATATCATCTTCACCAGAACTTCACAAATTGCAGTAACTTATGTTATAATGTGGTGACTATTCGCTCTTGCGACCCTAACATCTGGCGAATTACAAAAAACCACCAACAATGTTACAAAAATGCAAGGGATGTTTGGTTAAAGAAGACTGTAACAACTGTTCAAACTTTAGCAGTGTTGGAAAATGATGAACAAGTAAAAGGCAAACTGGAAATGTACCTGCAACCGTATTATGACGTTATTATGAATGCAAAAATCAAAGAACTCCCTAATTTAAAGCATTTGATTACAACACATGGGGCAAGTAACCATGGAGGCCCTGCCGACAATCTCAGGATTGATCATATCGGTCAAGTAGGTCACAAACGAAGTGGAACTGAGATCGAACTTCAAAATTATGAGACAATCAAGCGCAGTAGAGAAGGGGCTCTGAATATTTAAAACCTTACCATAAATTTTATGTCAATTATTTTCTATTTTGACCATTTATCCTATGAAAGCAATATCATTCTGCTCTAATTTGGTTTGATACATTTTATACCTTTGTTTAGTTGTCAGTGGGATTTATGCCTCGCATTAAATAAAATCTCAATTTATAGAAAGCTAATTTTTCTCCTGTTTAAAATGGTTTACTTTTTTATCTGTGCACAATTTTTTTTATTATATTCTTTTTTTAATGAGTTAATGACTGGTTTCTTTACTATTTTGATTGTGAGCCTCACCTTGAAAACTTACTTAAAGACTCAATTCTTGTTCATTAGATGTTTCAATATTGTACAAAAGAGAAAACCCTCTCCTGATCTGACTATCCCTGGAACTTTCGTAAGAGATACCTTTGTGAATTTTGAGATCCCAAAAACAGGGGATAGCCCTTTTGAAATTTCTTGAAGAAACAGAACGTAACTCCGACGCAAATGAAGGCAACAATGCTCTCTTAAGTTCCAATTATTGAAATAGCTGCTCTATCCTTTGCTACGATTGATTGATATAAATGCGTCACAGGATAATTAGGAACTTCAGGTAGTTTTTTAAGTAGACACTAAGAGATATTTTCGTGAATTCATGCTTTAGTATTTATGTTTTTCTTATATTTTTATCCGCTCACCAAATCAGAAAATCCCTTGCATTTGAAGAAATTTTTCGTTTGAATACCAAAAGAAAGCAAATATTACTCACCTATGATTCTTAAATTTGTGAATTAGCATTCTTGAAATGTGCTACTACACAAAGGTGTTACTGAAATTTTGTATCCAGTGTAATTCTTCCCTTTTTTAACTCTAAAAATGATTTAGACCAGAGCCTCCTGTCAAAAACTCATGGTTCTCAGATTTTTCATTGCTATCATAAGTTCTGCGTTTTCAGCAACAGTTAGAGGCAGACCAGTTGGAAATTTTAGATTTATTTTTTAAATTCTTATATTTTCCCCCATAAAATTGTTTCTAGTATTTAATGTTTGTACTTGGTACTATTATATCTCTATTATTATTATGATGATACATTTTCTTTTTGTAACGTAATAAGTTCTTCAGTTATATTCCTGTCATGTTATTTTTCTTCATAATGTTTACTTTCCGCATCCAGTCCAGAATATATGAATGTTAGCAGTGGAATAAGTTTTTATTTTTTGTTTTTCATCTCTTTTTAAAGCAAACCTCTGGCCAGAATTTCTGGAATTGAACAATTATCCCCGCCAACATGTCTGAAATGTTGAATATATTTCTAAAATACTCTATTGAAGTAGAGAATACTCATACTTGATAACTTTATTTATGAATTGTTTTTCCAGTTTCTTTGGATCATTCTCATATGAACAACACCTCTAAACTCATTTACTTTGAATACTGTATGGGTAAAATGATCCATTAGTATGGATAACTCCATTTATGAATTTATTCCGCAATATAATTCATTAGTGCATTCATCAAGTCGGGAATATAAAACCATTCAGCAGTAATATTTTCAAATACAGTACTTTTATTTATGAGCACTTTTACAGTCTGTATCTGCATTTTCAATTTAACTGTGAGTGGAAATGAAGACATGAAGTCCAGAGCAAGCCTAGGTTTGACCTTTAAAATTTAAATTGATTTGCTCTGGGTTCTTGGGGTGGTCAAACTGGCGTCCAATCGATCGCATTGGATAAGTAAAAAATCTCGGCAGATTTTGAATTTTTATGCAGGAGAAGGACGATAGCTGCTAAGCATGAGCCTAAAAAATTCTCAGTCAAAAATTTAGAAAATTCGAAGAAATGGAAGCAAGATTCTCTTTAAGAAAAAAGTCACATTCAATACAATGGTTAATTGCTGTTTTTTCCGGATAGAATCTTACTTTCATTTTTCTGAACTTTCCAAATTTTTCGGTTGAGAATGGCGATTCTCCTTCTTTCTTCCTTTTTTTAGGCAAAAGAGTCAAAAGCTGCTGAGATTTTTGGCTTAATCGATATGATATATTGCACGCCATTTCGACGACTTAAAGATCTGAGTATGAATCATCTCAATAATTTTACTTCTTTAACTTCAGAATCGGATTAAATGACGTTGAGTCAGTGCGCTAATTTTTTTCTGAAGTCCGAGGAACATCAGTAGTAAAAAAAGGGTGCTTATATTCTGGACTCTCAAACCAAAAACCTAAATCTAATCGGAATTTAGGTAGAGTTTATCTATAAACATTAAAAGACACCTAGTATGGTAAGGCTGCCTCTATCAGGGCACATAAGCACAGGTCTCGAGGGGAGAGAAATGTAGTCAGGCACTCATCCCAGTCGCCAAGGAGATGAAAGTTCCATCAATCCCCACTGTATGGCTTGCACTTCAAATTTTGAAAATTTTCAATGAGATACCCCGAAACTCTCCTTGGTAAAGGTCGCATCGGCTATGCCCTCTCTATATGCACCTCTCCCTCAGGATACATTCAAGTATGTTTCTGTGTATGTATGAGGCATTATGCCCAAAGACGCCCCTCATCAACACAAAAACACCGTATTAAATCATAGTTTTGGTATGTGCTAATCAAGCACAAGCAATTGCCTGGAATTTATTTTAACTGAGGAGCGAAAAATTTGCGTTTAATCCACATGATTTGACAGAGTGATGTTTTGAACTTCAGAATAATTTTTATCTACTCAAGACGTGGACTCGTTAATTTCAAGAGTTATAATACTTGCCAAGCTGTAGGAAGTAGTTTCTGCATTGATCTTCAATAGTATCACAACAGCATAAGACTCGGATTTCTGATTTTTAAATTATTCAATTTTTATGTTTCATTTGTACACTGTAAAGCTCACTCATCCCATTCCACTCACACGTTTCCCATCATCAAGCACATAATCATCTCATCTACCCATCATCATTAACAAGAAGTTAAGAAAAAATGCCTCTGAACTGTCGAGGCATTCTGCAACACTACCTCATAATGTAAAATTGTCTATATTTCTCGTTGAGAAGGTAACAAAAATTCAAACAATAAAAAAAGAGAAAAAAGAAAAAAAAATAGTATCAAGAGATAAATAAAGTCAACCGAATCAATGTGTGGGAGTTTAGGGTTTTTTGCATACGGCGATAATAAGCGCTCGTGTGGAGCGACGTCCGTAAATTTGAATGTCGCGCTTAAATTTCAAATTACCCGCTATCTGATATTTCCCGCTCATTTTATTAGTTCCGCAGGATTCCGCCACAACATCCGGTGTTTTTCTGTTGATGTTCACGCACGTGCAAGATAAGCATAAAGCGCCATAAGCCAAAAGTGGTCATACAGCCATACCCAGAACTTCGTCTTCAGTTTTCAATTTGGTAAGGGTTTTAATTTTCAAATCGCTTCTTTACCTCTACACGCTGAATCTTTCGTAAGGAACGATTTTAATCTCATCTGTTCCAATCAATGTTAAACTCCACCAGACAGGCTTGTAAGTACTGAATCTGCTCAGTCAGACTGCACAGAGATTTTTTCTGTGTGAACTAAGTACCGAATCTTGTCTCGTAACTTTCCGAAGTTCGTGTAGACTTTTCAACTGATTGATAGTATTAGACTCAAGTTTCATTGCTTCGCCTTCATCCTTTTTTTTCAGAATGCCAAACTCCTGAGAGTCAATCGTGCCTGTGTTTGTGCTAGCTTGCTTGCTGAAAAGTTGATTTTACCCTCCATGCGAAAGCCACACATGCCTTCCTTCTCTAAACTTTAGCTCTATTTCCTTCAAAGGTCATCTCTGATTTATTCCACCCTGCAATTGTAAGTACGTCAATAACTAGATGAGCTTAGGAGCTGTCCATGATGACTTGCTCTAAGTTCATTTTGGTAACTAGCCCTAACTGAGAGAAACTTTCCTTCATTCCGGTTAGCAGGTCTGAATGCTGAATTTTTGCCATGTTTACTCATGGATTTGTTAGCAGCTCTGCTGTTTTCACTGTACAGGCTGGATGATCATTTTCTAGGATGTGCATATAATAGTAACTCGATGAATGATTATACAGTCAAATCAGTGCCTACTCCTCACTAAGTTTTAAGTACCATTATCTGAACTTCTCTAATCGTGCAACTACATACTCAGTTGGCGAAGAATTGAGACAAAACAATGGCTGTCGTGTGTCGTCTCCAGGATGAGGCCAAATTCAAACTTAATAATCCATGCCAGACCTTCGGTGTTATTGAGTGTTACCTTGAAGAGTGAAAGTTGGATACGTACTTTACACCAAATGAACCGCGTTAAACAGAAAGGAACCAAGCCACATCAGCTATTGCCAAATTTAATCGGGCAATTTAATTTTTTACCCGCAGACGGTCGTGCGGATTTTTGTGCAAATTTTAGTGAATTTTCTCCATAATACCAAGCAAATTCCCTAAAATTTTCAAAGGAATCTGCGTGAACGTTCTCTCGTAAAAAATAAAATTTCCCTGTTAAATTTGGCAAAAGCTGATGTGGCTTGGTTCCTTTCTGTTTAACGAGGTCCAAATGATGATCGGATAATGCTAAAGTGTCTCTGATCGACACTTTCTTTAACGATTAATGAATCCATGCGATGAGGAAATCAGCTGTACCTAGAGAATTTTCAACATTACATGATGATCAGCAACCTGAGCGTTCCAACTTTGTGTTTGTCTGGCGAAGGAGACAAGACTAAAGTGAAATTGAGCTGTGTGATTGGTCAGTCTTCGTGTTAGGGCCCTTGAAAAAGTTGCTCACTAGGTTGACCAAATGTCTACCTGGAAGTACCCCCTCGTTGTCAGATAAACAGTTTTATCATTTGGCTCAATATACAGCTTTCCCGAGCGTCGAGAGGATGAGACCGACCAACCTCTTCGCTCCATTTCACCTCAGACTTATCTTGTCCACCAGACAAACACAAAATTTCCACGACCAGACTACAGTTGATCACAGGGTTTCATCTTAGTTGGGTAACATGCATGCAGTGTGCCCCAGTTTATATCAGGGTTCAACTCTAAAATATAATACTGTAACAAAGTACTGGGCCTAAAAATTTGGTGCATTCTTAATTTTTGATCCGTGGTTTTTTTTTACAGAAATGCACTTTATGATTCCTCCCAAAATTTGTAAGGTCTCCTAATTTGTTTCAGTGGCTCCATAATCGTAGGCTTGTTATGGAGATGACGAAATTGAATTCCCCAAGAAAGTTATATCTGTCAGAGATTAGTTAGAATATGGTCCAGTCATGATTTCTTGTTGTAAGATCTTGCAGGTCACATGATGGAAAATTTTCTTGCTCATTGCTTGGGGAGAAAATTGCCAGTAGAAGTGCCGAATCATTGTTAAACCATCAAAATGGTCCTGTTGAAAATAAAATAACAGAAGAAGACCCTTTCTGATAGGAGTTTTCAAAGCGGGCATCAATGCTGTCATGGAAATGAGTTTTATGTCCAAAGTTACCTAATGTCTAGGCAAACCAAGCAACAATGCTGTGACTCAGGCTATGTATTTCCGACAAGAGCAGCCATCAGTCAGTCTTTACTTTTGAAAGAAGATGTATTCATAGCTTACTGACAAATATTCTTTGCAATATGTCCACATTCTTACTAGTAAGAAAATTTAAGGGGCATCACCTCCTAGAATGCTATCATTATGCAAACATTATCTAGGCAATACCTTAATGTTGTTGTACTTCATTTAATTTTTCAAGTATAATTTTGACGAAAATTTTCGTGATTCATCTGTTTTATAAATCTCATGTCAAGCATACCTACGCATTTTTTAGTTTCATTTGTTCGGTTGTTTGGAACACAAAAGTTACATTTTTCTAACTTATCTTGAAAGATACATAATGTATATGTATTCTTGACTAAAGTAATGATTGAAATCGAGGTGAGGGCGTCGCCCCTCCCCCCCAAACTGGAATAAGTTGCAATTTGGCTGCAGGTTGTGGTATTGACTTTCACCAACTGGGGACTCTACATGAAACTATTCTGAGTATGTCAGCTCGGCAGAAAAGTCACATGAAACTATTTTAGTCTTCAGAAGAATTTTTAGGAAGGAATTTTGGAGACTTCATCTAGTTTTAGAGGCAATTTTTTGTTTTCTCAAACAAGATTTAGGCAAAGGAAGAGAGTCAACATTTTTCTCTAAATATTATACAATTGAATTTTTTGACTTAGGCACATACTTTTAATCTCTTTCAAACAGAGACGTGGGAAGCCCCAAGCCTACCCAAAATTACGGGAAAAGAAGAAAATTTCTTAATTTTTCTTTTTTCAGTTTTCAGATCCTTTTGTGGTCTGCAGTCAACCTACTGTGACAGCAAATATTGCAATTTTGGTCAATGAAGTGATATTCTCCATCGCAAGATATTGGAGAACATTTTGAAACTCCTTTCTTTGGTAAGTAAGTCATAACTCAGTATAATGTATCAAACTATATTATTACTTGGAATGGAAAAGGTACAAGTTTGGACTCACTGTCAGTGCAACAGACAGGAAAAAACTTTTGAAACATTTTTCTCTAAATATTATACAATTGAATTTTTTGACTTAGGCACATATTTTTAATCTCTTTCAAACAGAGACGTGGGAAGCCCCAAGCCTACCCAAAATTACGGGAAAAGAAGAAAATTTCTTAATTTTTCTTTTTTCAGTTTTCAGATCCTTTTGTGGTCTGCAGTCAACCTACTGTGACAGCAAATATTGCAATTTTGGTCAATGAAGTGATATTCTCCATCGCAAGATATTGGAGAACATTTTGAAACTCCTTTCTTTGGTAAGTAAGTCATAACTCAATATAATGTATCAAACTATATTATTTCCTTGACTGGAAAAGGTACAAGTTTGGACTCACTATCAGTGCAACAGACAGCAAACAACTTTTAAAAAGTACAACTTAGGACTCTCGTTCAGTTCCAAAGACTGAGGGAAACATTGCGTGTGTGTACGAAAGGAAACCGGAGATAACTTAAAGAGTGGCAAAAAGTAGGTACTAAGTATTCCTACACATTTTCTCAGATCTAAAAGTAAAATCTTTTTCAGGGTGTATTATGGTCTGAAAGTAGTCCTGATTTTTTGAGGGCATTTCTGAAGTACAGAAATTGCGTAGAAATTCTGCAAAAAGGTCTGGAATTTTCTGGATCATGCCAGGTGTGTTTTTAAGATAGCTTGAAAAGTATTTAATCCTTACTCATTGATTTTTAGTGCAGTAATTTGCCTGCTCAATGAAGTTTGTGTTGCCAGTTGATCTTCAGACCACCGCTGAGCTTTAAATTTTGTGGCTACATCGTTATCATTGCGATTCGCGTGTGACTTTCGAATTTTGTCACATCAGTAAAGGTATTGGAATAGTAAGTACTGAATTTTTCTGTTGAGGTGCTGAATTTTTTGTGTAAGTACTGTAATAGTACTGATTTTTCTCAATCAGCTTCAGTACACACCCTACCATTCAATACTTCTCTAACTCAATCTACAAAAGGGAGAATGCTCAATGCCATCAAACTTCACCCTACCATTCATTACTTCTCTAACTCATCTACGAAAGGGAGGGTGCTCAATGCCATCAAACTTCACCCTACCATTCATTACTTCTCTAACTCATCTACGAAAGGGAGGGTGCTCAATGCCATCAAACTTATCCCTGAGGAACAAAAATCCTGTTTTCTCTTAAGCATATATAGTGAGTCGCTGGCTTTGTTTGATTTTATCTCAATCGGCTATCATCAAAGTGCACATTTCTATCATTTTCCATAAAGGCTGTATTTATTCCTCAGATTAGTAGTGTCTGACCTGAGGAGGTTTTTTTTTTTAACAAAGATCTACATTTTTCTCAGGTGGACCAAGATTCAGGATAATTTAATCATTACCATATCCTAATCCACAAATAATTTTTATTTCAAAGTAAATACCTAGGACTTGAACTAATGTTTTTATTGCTGAAAAGCACTTTGAAAATCAACACTTGATTATTGATCAACACTTGATTGATCAACACTTGATTATTGATCAACACTTGATTAATCAACACTTGATTAATCAACACTTGTTGTTTTTTGACTGATTGTGTTAGAGAAAATCTCTCCTGAAAAACTTAACTCAGGTTCACTCTGTATTAATATGAATCAGTGACCCTAGGACACTAGTACCTTAAAATATGCAAGGATTGAGAGCTTTCCAACTTCCTCAGGCTCAGCTCAAAGAGCATCAATATACCTAACCAGTGTTTCCTCCGCGAGTATTTGTCAGCAGCACTAGTGGATCTTGCGACTCCAAATATTCACCGCCCTTTCTCTTGAGGGGCTAATTTTTCCAGATCAGTGCACTGCTTAAAGCGTTTTGCTGGCCATTTAAATTCCTATTCTTCTGAACATAGCCTAAATTTGTTTTGTGAAAGTTTTGTTAGGTGAGGTACTGTCGTCAGCTTTTTTAAATTTAGTTTACTTATATTTTTATCTGCTGATGAAATTTGGGTGTGAGCTTCAACTCGTTAGCACTGTGTGCTATGTCAAGCTCCTATTGTTAGCCCTGGATGCACAGGTGATCCCTAAGAGCCTCGTTTGACTCATGAGGCCAACTGTTGAACCCTGATGTCAACTAATCAGCCGATGGCAAGCTGACTTTGGCAAAATTAAATGGTTCATTGAACATTGACTGCATACTGATTTCTGGCTATAAGGAATTTTGACCCCAGTTTTATGGTCTCTTCACCTATCTAGGTACCAGTGTCGGCCCTTTTATCGCTTCCTTTCCTGGTACTATGGGAACAAATATGTAAAAATGTACTGGCACACAATGCCATCAGGGTTTTTACGCTCGGTGGCAAATTTTCACTACGAACTTTATGATGAGACTGATGATAATACTACTACTGAAGCATTATACTGCTGTAAAACCTCTGGAAAACCTCTGTACAAATCAGCTCTTAATGAACAGAAACCCTCAACAGAGAATAGTTCTTGAAAGTGGGAGCTAAATCTAGATCTTATTTAATTGATTTTCTCTTCTCGCTTTACAAACTCCTTCATAAATACAGTAAGACCTCGAATTATCGAATCGCGATTTAACGAATTCCGCGTTTTAACGAATTCCGCGATTTATCGAATTCCGCGATCTAACGAATTCCGCGATTTAACAGATTCGGCTTCCGGTCCTGTGAAATCCGATAAATCAAGGTCCTACTGTATTTGGAAGTAAAGATCAAGACCTCAGCCGATTTCCTCAAAAATTAGTTCTATAGCTTCTGGTTTAATCCATTCAGACAATTAGCTATGAAGACCCCACACTTGTGACTATTATTTATTGATGGCTGCCCGAATTCGTGGGGATGGATTGTATCATGCCAAATGATCCAGAGCTGGGGTCACAAAACAAACTCTAATTAGTGTCAATGCAGCACTAAAGGTGGATAGTGTTCAGCTCAAGTAGATACATTGGAATTGCTGATGAGGTCTTATTTGACCTCATCAGCAGATCACACTCAGTCATTGAGCCCTGCTTAGTATCCTTCAAAATCCTAGATGGCATTAAAACGCCATCACTACCATCATGGACATGGCTCAGAATGTGATCCTAGTGCCGTCTGCCATTGGTGCTGAACATTTCTCAGGACAAGACAAGGAAGACACTAGAAAAAATTTTCTATTAGAGTAATTATAATTTTAATTACATTTCATTTTGTGACTCTAATTCTAAGTTTCGTTCTACATTTTATTTGTTTTTTGTTGCTGCCATAGATGTGTATCATTTATCATTCCTATCACTATTTTGTTTGTTTCTTATTCATTTAATTTATAAACAAAACATAAACATCCTTCAGTCTCAATGCTATTGTAAACCTATACATACTCACACCTTGGGGGGAGGGGCTTTGCAGCGGTCGCGGGCGCATCATGTGTGTATGTATGTATGCATGTATGTAGATATGCATGTATGTATGTATGTATGTATGCATGTATATATACATAGTTAGTTTGTTAATTGCCTAATTTGGCTGGCTAAGCTGTATAGAACATGGTAATTGATTAAAAAATCGAGCTACAAGCCAAAATAGACTTAAGTAAAATAATGTTTAAGCAAAATATATGTAGGCTACTATTTTGGCTTGTCGTTCGATTTTTCAATCTATTACCATGTTGGTTAGTTGGTTGACAAAAATCCATGTATGTGTGTATACGTGGGTCTCAGTCAATGTTTAATTTTTTCAGTTTTCAGACCTTTTTGTGATAATTAATTTTTGAACACATCTTGTTGTGAAACAAACAGAATTTTCCAATATTTATGTTACGGATCTATTACAGAGTATCCAGTGCTTGAAAAATCTCTCAAAACTTTGAAAAGTTAGTGCATTTTGCCGTAAAACGTTTAAATTGTCTCTTCTGGTTGTAAAATTTCGCCTGTGGCTAATACTCTTACCTGCTTTATTAACAAAAAGTAGATTCTGTCTTTAAGTTTTCAAATTTTATACTTCTTTTCATTCCGTGAGACTTGGGACTGAAAAATTTTTCTTATGAGCATTTTCATGAGAAATTTGATGTGCCAAAAAGTCATTGAAAAGTCATGGAGAAGCCAGGGAATTTTGTAGCCAAAAACCCTTAAAAGTCTTGAAAAAATCAAAGAATATTGAAATCCGAGAGAACCTGTCACCGTGCATTAGTTCATTTCTTTTCTTTGAATATTTTTGTGAAAGTAAGTTTTTCATCCTCATGAGTATGCTCAGAAATATTGCGTATCTTCTTAAAAAATCTCTGTTCATGTGCTAATGAATAAATTGATTAGTGACAATAAAGATTCTATTTTGTTATAGATGGAAAAATTCCAAGATGAGTGAGTTTGAAGTGATTTATGAAATTGAAATCGAATCGGTTGGACAAGACGACTTAGATGTAACAACCAGTGAAAATGGATCAAATTTAGAACAAAGTTCAAGATTGGACGAAGATGTTTCAGATGCAGAACAAAAAATTAGATTAGGTGAAGATTGGAAAACTGAAATATACCATACGCTACAGAAGATAAAAACGCCCAATGCTTTTGCATTCAGTGCAGTTAGTTCATCGTTTCCCAATCCAGGACTCCACCTTCCACAACGTGGGTTTGTGGGGCTACCGCTCTCAGCTCACGATGCTCAAAAAATAATTTCAGTGGCCACTCCATCTCCTTTTGGCAGAGGAGAAGAGACATTGATTGATGATACTATTCGTAAATGTTGGGAACTTCAGCCAAACCAGTTTTGCATCAAGAATTCCTCATGGAATAATGCGCTAAAAGAAATGATGGAGTCTGTCAGCATAGGACTTGGTTTAAGTTTTGACGAAGGGAAATTCTCAGCACAGTTGAACAAGCTCCTCTTGTATGAGCCAGGAGCCTTTTTCAAAGCTCACAGAGACTCTGAAAAGGGCCCAGGGATGTTCGGCACACTAGTGGTGTGCCTGCCCTCACCACATGAAGGAGGGAAGCTTGTGTTGACTCATGGCCATAAAAAGTATGAATTTGAAACAGCAAAGTCTTCAAGTTTTGATGTCTCTTATGCTGCATGGTTTGCTGATATCCTGCACGAAGTGCACCCTGTAACAGCAGGCTATCGTCTCATGCTGACTTATAATTTGATTCGAGAAACTGATTTCTTTCTCCCACCATATCATGTTGTCCATGAGCTTGCACAACAGCTATCGATTCTGTTTCAACAATATGACTTGCAGCTGAAGGAAGGGGATAGAAAATTACCACCATTTTTGTTGCATAAACTGAAGCATAAGTACACACAGGCCAATTTGAAACAAAAGTTGCTGAAACCTCAAGACCTTGCCCAGGTTCAAACACTTAAACAGGTAACAGCAGATCTCGGATACGATATTTATCTTGCAACCATGGAGCTGACAGTCGAGAAAGATGACAACTATGATGATGATGATTTCACAAGTAAATCTCAGAGTTTGAACAACATAGTGGAGCTTGATGGTAATCTTGTCCTCAGTAGTCTTCATTTCCCAGATGCTGCTCTAATTGATCCAACGCCTCTAGATGACGGAAAAGCAGACGAAGAAAAACATGAAGAGACTGGAAATGAAGGTTGCCGTGGAACATACTGGTACCGAAATGCCACTGTAGTGCTTGTACCACCCTCAAAGCAGCTGGACTTTGTATTTCAATTTGGTTCTCATGGAAAGGTCATTGAGCCGGTGTTCTCTAAGCTAATGAAAAAATTTACAGAAGATCCAATGCAGATACCAAAATTAGAACAACTTTGTGAGTTGGCTTTGAAGCAAGAGCCGCGCTATGGTGATTACACGAACACTGTTCCTCCCTTCTTCCAACAAGCAACAGCCACTGCTTTAGAGTTGGGACGTTTTGATTTTTTTGAAATTGCCTGCAGAAAGACGAAGGATAATGTAATGCTTATGCTCGACATTCCTCGAAAACTTGGTAATTTGGCTGCGATTAACAATCTAGCTACAATGAGAGATCAACTCGTGAGAGGCTTGAGTATTGCTCCCTCAATCTTTGTAAAAATTAAATTTCTTGAATCTGTTAAGACAGGGTTTGAGGAAGTCTTGCAAAAGCCAGACTCTGTTGAGAAAGCAAACTTCAAGCAATGGTCAGAGGAAGCACTACTCTCAGCCATTTCTCAAGTTTTTCAGATCACAAAAGCTGATGGCATGTCATTAGGACTTTTACATAGATGCGTAGACTGGAGTTTGTTTCATGAAAAAATAAAGTCAGTCGTTCTAAATGCAGCATTAGTGGTAAAAATCACATTCGTAAATGAATTTATGTCTTCTCTTCAGCAAAACCTCTCCAAGGAACAAAGGTCATTTATTGAGTCGATCGTTCGTAATATCTGGGATAAATTTGAAATCACCTTGTTGCATACAAGGCAGAGGCTAGTTACTCCGAGAACCTCACAGATCTGGCCTTGGCAAAATAGGACTAGTGAAGTCAAAACAGAAAGACTGGAAGAATATGAATTGCAGTCTTTTGTCGAAAACACCATCTTTATCTTATCTTCTGAATATCTTGAGGCAACTGTAATACCAGCAATACTCACCCCAATCCCCGATGCATCTAAAGACTACGCCAAGGAACTAATTAACTCGATAATAAGTATGATCATAAAAAACAAACAGAATCAAGATGTAAACTGGACTCAATTGGAATCAAATACATTGCCAATCTTATTAAAAGCTAAGACTGTAGTCAAGATAGTTTTTGTGAATGAATTTATGTCAGCCTTACAGCAAGAACTCATCAAGAAGCAACCATCATTCATCAAGCTATTAATTCATAATATTTGGAGTGAATTTGACATAGTCTCTTTGCAAGGAAGATCACCCACGCCAAGTGTACCACAGTACTCCTTCCAACCAGATAGAAGTGGATTTTCATTCCGAAAAAGGTCTGTCACAGTGAGAGAATCTCAGTATTTCTTACAACGAGATAGAAATGTAGTCCAACCAAATAGATTAGAAGAAGATGAACTACAGTTTTTTGTCGATAACACCATCATTATCTTATCCCCTGAATGTCTTGAGACAACTGTCATACCAGCCATGCTTACCCCCATTCCCACCGTATCTAAAGATTATGCCTCGAAATTGTTCGCCTCCGTCAGAGGTATGATCCTCAAAAATGAACGCTACCAAACTATGAGCTGGAGCCAGTTGAAGGCAAAAACATTTCCATCCTTACTAAAAACAGTTACAGTGGTGAAGATACTGTTTGTCAATGAATTAATAGCCTTGCCGGAGTTGAGCGCGGAACTGCTATCATTTATCGAGCCAATCATTAAAAATGTTTGGAATGAATTTGACTTTGACTCAAAGCAACAAGAATCAATCATCACAAATATGCCTCATAATCTCTCTCAGTCAGGCAAGAGTAATTCGAGCAGAAAAAATATCCTTGAAGAAAGCGACTTGAGAAGATTTATGGAAAACACCATGACACTTTCAAGTCCTGAGTATATTGAATCTGATGTAATACCAGCCATGCTCAGAGCTATTCCGAATGTATCAAAAGAGTGCTCCAAAGACTTATTTATTCCGATAGTACGTATGATCCTTAAAAATGAACTAGCAGGCTTTCAATTGCCCATGAATGAGGCAGCAGTACCCCCAGTCTCTCACAAATGTCTTGTTCAAGCGCTTTTGAAAAAGTTTTTGATTGAAAATGTTGGTTCTGAACCCCAACCTCCAAAAAATTATGCCCTGCCACCTGGTCGGTGCAACTGTGGTGACTGTACAGTAGTTAATAGGTTCTTACAAGATCCTTTAAGGCAAAGGTTGGATTTTCCTGTTGCTGAGCGTCGGCGCAGTCATCTTTACGAAATTTTCACTCGTCAGGGTAGGGATTACTCATGGGGAATCGCTCGTGAGGAAGACTACGAAGTTCAAACCGTTCGATCAGGAAGCCCTTACGTCTGGCAAATCACTAAACATCTAGGAGGTCATCAAACGAGAAAAGATGAATGGTCAAAAAGAACGGAAACTGCTAGAAAGACTCTTCTGGGTTTGAAACTGGAGGAATCTGTGAATGGAAAACTAGAGGCATATCTAGAACCGTTCTATAATAGTATAATGAAGGCCGATGTCGAAGCACTCCCAAATTTGACATCTTTAGTCACATTACCAACATCATCGGAAGCAAACCAACTTGTACTGCCGCCTCTTAACAATCTGACCAATCAGCTTGGGCTGAAGAGAGAGGCAAGTCAAATTGAACCTCCGGAGGATGAATCTGGTGAACAGGAAAAGGCAGAAATAATACCAATCGTAAATTAGGAGATATCCTATCTTGTAAAGGATTTTGAATATAGTTTAGTTAATTGCAAATGTGTGAATGTAACATATTCCAACCAATTGTTTAGGTAGGTATGTACTTGTTTTTTTCTTTTCTTTTTTTTCATTGAATTTTCTATTTACTCCATGTTTATATAATTTTTAAAGGTTACAGAAACTTGTTATTGGAAGCACCTTTTCACCCTTAATTGTACTATTGGCCCTAAAATCCACTTCTGTAGACTACAAATAGACTAGCTGAATTTCATATAGCTAATTAAGAGGTGTTTCGGAAAGGAGCACCTTCAAGTTTATGGGGTAAGGGGGCATTTTTCACTTAAAACTCTGTAGCAGTTTGCAGAGTAAAAATTTGTCACTTTTTAAAATGACTCAAAAATTGAAAACTAATTCTTTACCCACCAATTTCAGAAATTATAGTGAGGGAAAATGCAGTGCAAACCTCTTCTACCAGGTTGCCAATTGATATTTGGGGAACTTGGACAGTAGGCTCAGTTTTTATGCCTTATGATATCTTTTTTATTGTGAGCCGTACCACTATAACTCTGAAACTGTAGATCCAATCACAAAAAAAGGGCACACAACTGTAAATATTTCCAAGTTCCTCTTACAAAACCCAACAATAGCTGAGTTTCAACAAGCCGAATTTCGTTCAGAGATGGATCTTTTTGAATCTGAATGACCAAGCTGCAACATGAGTTATCTTTAATGCAAGGGTACAGCCAGGAATCTTTGCCCCCCCCCCTTCCGCCTATTTGAGCCGCTGTGCCTTATTTTTTTCCCTCTCTTTCTTCAATGTTTGTGCCCCTTGCGCAACACTGTGCTTTCCCCATTAGGCCGGGAGGAAAAAAAATTGAATCTCATAGTAAAGGTTTTCTTCTGTTATGTGCCTTTTTTCTGGAAAACTCTATTACCTCTCCATTATTAAGTATAAGTATATCTAATTCATTAATATCATTGTTACCTAAGTGTATTTTACATAATTTTTGTCTGTGTTATGTATTACTTTTGTGACTGGAAATTGATCTAGTACAAAATTGTCGTTAACTAAGCATTCATCTTTGGAGAAAATCCGTTCCTATTCTTGTAAGAAATCAGCCAACTCTGACAGAGAAAATTCTATTCTGTTGTAGATTGAAAAATTGCAAGATGAGTAGTGATTCAGAAATTAGTTCGGGTTCAGAATCAGAAGACCAAGAAGGCTCAGATAGTACATTCAGAGACATAGATGATTCAGAATATGGAGAAGAGGAAGAACTGGATGACTCAGATGTGGCTAACGGAAGAAGAGATTCCAAACCTCCTGCAGAACATGAAACAAGATCAGATGATGATTTGAGAACCAAGATTTGGAATACCCTCCAAAAAATTGAAACCCCCTACGCTTTTGCATTCAGTGCAGTCAGTTCTTCACTTCCAAATCCAGGACTCTATTTTCCCCACCATGGACTTGTGAGCCTACCACTTACAACTCATGATGCTCAAAAAATAATTTCACTGGCCAGTCCATCACCTTTTGGTAGAGGAGAAGAGACCGTAGTTGACAACTCAGTTCGTAGATGTTGGGAACTGAATCCGCAGCAGTTTTCTATCAAGAACCCAGCATGGAAGAATGCAATGGAAGAAATTTTGAAGGCAGTTGGTACAGGACTCAGTTTCAGGAGCAGAGGGAAGATCTCAGCAGATCTAAACAAGCTCCTCTTGTATGAGCCAGGAGCCTTCTTTAAAGCCCACAGAGACTCAGAAAAAAGCAGCGGTATGTTTGGCACCCTTGTCGTGTGTCTACCCTCGCCACATGAGGGAGGGAAGCTTGTTTTGACTCATGGCAATGTGAAGTATGAGTTTGAGACTTCCAAATATTCGACTTTCGATACATCATATGCCGCTTGGTGTGCTGATATTGAACATCAGATTCAAACGGTCACCGCTGGTTACCGTTTAATCTTGGTGTATAATTTGATTCTAAAAACAAATTATTCACTGCCATCATACCATGTTGCTCTCGAGCTCGCACAAAGACTGTCAACGCTGCTTCAGCAGTATGACTCTCAGCTCAAAGAGGAGAATAGCAAATTACCGCCAATCATTGTGCATAAATTGAAACATAAATACACACAAGCCAGTCTAAAATTTAACTTGCTGAAACCTCAAGATGTCCCTCAGGTTCAAACACTTATTCAGGTAGCAACTAGTCTTGGATTTGATATTTATATTGCAACTTTGGAGTTCATGGTCAGTGAATTATCAAACAAATCCAGGCATTTAAACAACATGGTAGAGCTTGACGGTAATCTCCTCGTCGAAAGAATGAAGTGTCCTGATGGCGCTCTAATAGATCCTTGGCCGCAGGATGGAAGAAAAGAGGATAAAAAATATGAAGCTAATTGGACAGGGAATTCAGGTTGTGAAGCCACGTATTGGTATTATGATACTGTTGTTGCACTTGTTCCTCCTTCGAAGCAGCTAGACTTTGTATTTCAATTTAGGTCTGAGGGTGATGTCACTGAGGCTCTATTCACTAGACTAGTGCAGAAATTCTTAGAAGATCCAGCTCAGAAATTAAAATTAGAACAACTTTGTGAGCAGGCTGTGAAGCATAAACCAGAGTATTGGGATGACTATGAGACTGTTCCTCCCTTCTTTCAACAAGCAACAGCCATCGTTTTAGAGTTGAGGCGTTTTGAACTTTTTGATATAGCGTGCGAAAGGTCAAAATATAAAGTCATGTTTACGGGTGAAATTCCTAATATTCTTGGTCATTTGATCGCAAAGAAAGAACTGGCCAAAATTGATGATCAGCTCATGAAAGGTTTACATAATGCTCCCTCACTTGCTGAAGCAGTGAAATTTTTAGAATTGGTTGCTAAAGGTTTTAATGCAGCTTTACAAGACCAAGACCCAGCTGTAAGAACCAATTTTGAGCAGTGGTCAGATAAAGCACTGTTCTCAGCTATATCGCAACTTAATGCAATCACTAAAGCTGATGGTTTGTCCTTAGGACTCTTGCATAAGTCCATGGACTGGAGTTTGTTTCAAACCAAAATGATGCCAGTCATACTAAAAGCAGCATTAGTGGTCAAGATAACATTTGTAAATGAATTGATGTCATTTTTACAAAAAAGTCTCTCCAATGAACAGAGGTCATTTATTGAGTCGATCATTCACAATATCTGGAATGATTTTAACTTAGATGCAGTAGCAGGTGTTGAACGGAAACATTCTATGTTCAGCTGGATTGAGATTAAAAATGCCCTTGAAGAGAGCGAGCTAAAAAAATTCATGGAAAACACAATTTCAATTATGTGTCCTGGATATATTGAAACTACCGTGATACCAGCCATGCTGAGAGAAATTCCCAATGCATCAAAAGAGTGCTCCGAGCAATCATGTATTAATTTAGTGCGCATGATTCTTAAAAACGAACTTGCAGGCTTCAGACTACCCATCAGTGTTACAGCTCCTCCAGTATCACATAAATGTCTGGTGCAAGCGCTCCTTAAAAAATTTTTGATGGATCATGTTGGCTGCGAACCCCAACCTCCAACTAATTGGGCCCTCCCAGCTGGCGAGTGCCACTGTAGTGACTGTACAGTGGTTAACGAGTTTTTACAGGATCCTGTCAAGAAGAGATTAGATTTTCCAGTGGACAAACAACGACGTCGTCATCTCTACAAAAAATTTATTCATCCATGGCCCGATTATACAAAAGGAATTGTCCATGATGAAGACTACGATGTTCAAACTATTCGGACTGGAAACCCATACATCTGGCAAATCACCAAACATCAAGGAAGACATGAAAAAAGTAAAGCTGAATGGTCAAAAAGAGCTGAAATAGCCAAAAAAACTCTTTTGGCTTTGGAAAAGGATGCACCTGTAAAAGGTAAATTAGAGACATATCTAGAACCGTTCTACAATAGTATAATGATGGCTGATGTCAGTGCACTTCCAAATTTGACGTCTTTAGTTACTTTACCAAGTTCATTGGAAGCGAGTCAACTTGCACTGCCCCTTGATAACAATATGATTAATCAGCCAGGGCTGAAGAGGGGAGCTAGTCAAATTGAGCTCCAGGAAGATGAATCTGCAAAGCTGTTTAAGGTAGAAATGAATTCTATCGTAAATTAGAAAACTTCCTTTCTTATGATGGATTTTGTCTACAGTTTAGTAAATTGTGTTTGTAGTATATTCTAACTGACGGTTGATTGACAAAATTTCCAAAATTCTCTCTTCCATTTGATGTTCTATCTACTTCATGTTTATTTTTCAAAACCCCAAGAAACTTATTTTTAAGAGTCCTCTTTTACCCTAAATTGTATCATGAGATCCAAAGCCTGTAGGCGGTATAAATACAGTGGCCATAGCTGACTGCTCTATTTTCTTCTGTACCCTATGCCAACTTCGGATTCTTCAAGGTTTATATACAAGTACATACTAAGATGTAAACTTCTTCGTTTGTTATACGAGGGGCGTTCAATAAGTAAGTATCCCCCCCTCTCTAAAATCCATAAGAATGGACCAATTTTAAAAAACTTGGGCTCAAAATCTTCCTTAGGATATTTTGAGTTCAACAAAACAAACCGCAACAAAATCGGACTATGTGCGGCCGAACGCGAGCCGTTTGAACGCGCCGAGGTGCTCGACGCTCCCGCCGAATCTGCGAGGATTTGAAGTCCGCTACAGGAGAAGAGCTTCTCTGCCAAGGCCTCAGTCGTTCATCACTGACGAAAAATCAAAGAAATTTTTGTAGAATAAGGGGCTAACCTCACTTCTCCACATAACCAGCTCGATCCAAGCAAGTCTGATACTGAGACTAAGACTAAGAGAACAGCTTTTGGATGCCTCGTGCGTGGAAGTCTTTCAGCTGACCGCGGATGAAAGAGTGGACGGCTTGTTTGACCTCTTCCACAGATTCAAAATTAACTCCTCCAAGTTCAGATTTCAGGAACGGGAATAAATGGTGGTCTGGTTTGCCATTTATTAATTTATCTGAAATCTGAACTCGGAGGAGTTAATTTTGAATCTGTGGAAGAGGTCAAACAAGCCGTCCACTCTTTCATCCGCGGTCAGCTGAAAGACTTCCACGCACGAGGCATCCAAAAGCTGTTCTCTTAGTCTTAGTCTCAGTATCAGACTTGCTTGGATCGAGCTGGTTATGTGGAGAAGTGAGGTTAGCCCCTTATTCTACAAAAATTTCTTTGATTTTTCGTCAGTGATGAACGACTGAGGCCTTGGCAGAGAAGCTCTTCTCCTGTAGCGGACTTCAAATCCTCGCAGATTCGGCGGGAGCGTCGAGCACCTCGGCGCGTTCAAACGGCTCGCGTTCGGCCGCACATAGTCCGATTTTGTTGCGGTTTGTTTTTTTGAACTCAAAATATCCTAAGGAAGATTTTGAGCCCAAGTTTTTTAAAATTGGTCCATTCTTATAGATTTTAGAGAGGGGGGGATACTTACTTATTGAACGCCCCTCGTACTTTTGATCCAATTTATCTTGCAACACTTACATTTTATGCCTATACATTATAATTTTTACTTCCACTTGATATTTTTTTTAATATGTTCAGACTTTACCATGAGTCAAATTTGAAGCTGTCCGATTGAGAAAATCACGAATAGTATTACATTAGCACTCCTGAATTAATGTTATTAAAAAAGTTGCACTCCTTCGTTTTCATGTAGAATATTCTGTCTATTTTTCCATTAATACATATTTTTAATACATATTTAACCATGCAAAATGTCATTGAAATTTGAATAGTTCTCCTAATTGCTTACAGTACACATCCCCTCCATAGGTTTACTGCAAACCGTGATGTGTAACTGTGTTAACCATACAAATTAAGTGAATCTTTTTTTATGTCAATTATTTCAGTTAAATTTAGCTGGAGGTTTTTGATATGTTTGTTTTTTGACGTTGCCTTTTTCTTGAAATTATATCAATCGTATTTATTAAATCCTTGAATTATTTTGAATCTTCCTCTCTTAAACTAAAGCTCTGACTCTTACAGAAGTAAAAATACCTTTTTGCTTGCTTGATATGCCCAAAAGTATAACAACTTTTATAAACCTTTTATGTCTAGTGAAAATTAGGGAGGTAGTCATTTTGAAGTCTGTCTTTTCATTGAAATATCAAAGCCAGTTTCAGTGCTCAGAGGGAGGTTTAGCCCAGAAGAAGACTTGTCCTGTACATGGAAAAACTGAGTAACAGAAAAGTCTATCATTTGATGTTGCTTGTTGTGCCGCAAAAATGTAAAGAAGGAACATCAATTTGTTTCCTCCTTAAGTAGAGCTTTTTCAGAAAACCCTTTATATATGTAGAATGGACTCTTAGCATTTTTACCTTGGATGGCAGTTCTGACAAGAGAATTTCTACTCACTAAATCTGAAAGACCTTGCACGTCCAATGAAAGGATTCATTGCTGTGAAATTTTGTCATTATTTGATATGATACTCACTATGATCTGTCATGACAAAGATTTAAAATCTAATTTTTCTTGTGCCAATTTAAAAAAAAGAAAAAAAAAAAATCGTGGCTAAAGAGCGAAGTTTTCTGAATATCTGCAAGCAAAATCTAGTAGAAATAATGTTACCTCAAATTGGCGATTAAGGAGAGCTCTTTCTTACTTCCTCCCTGGCCAGGAAATTAAGAGATATGCTGCCTCAGATCCCTGTATTTAGACAAAATTATAATAAAAACGAACCAAAATTCTACCAAATGATGACTGCCAGTGGAGAAGCATTGCGTTAACTTCTGAACCTACAGATCTGACACGGCATTATTGCTCTATCAGTGAAAGAAAATAAGTGTAAATATGCTGGAGAATCTTATCGTTTGTCAGTTCCTCTCAAAATTGGCAAGTTAAAAGGTCCTTTTCTAAAACTGATTGTTCTCAGTTGGTTATACAAAGAATATTATTTTAAGTAATAATAACAAAATTTGTGCTTCAATTTCAGTCTGTATCTAGAAGTCAAAATTTTGTCTCCAAAAAGTCAGCTCACGTAATTATAGGGGGAAAAAATTAAGCTAAAGGTTTGTTAAAAGACCAGGAAAATTCCGGGGTTTTGGAAATTTTGATGTCAGGGAATTGGAAATTTAAAATTAGGGAAATCCTGCAAATTCAAAGGTAGCATGTAAGCTTAATCGCTCACTGGTCTGTTTTCACGCAGGAAAGTTGCAGCTTTTAACTTTCGAAGGTTCTATGGGAAATGGTATGAATGACATTTGAAAGTACCCAGCAGACCTCTGCTAATCAAGCTGTTGTTTAAAAGAGTCATTCAAAAAACTGCCCAATGGCAGAGTTGAGGTTGAAGAATTTGTAAAATTTTTTTTTTCACATCAGAATGAGGAAGCCTTAAAACTTTACAATGCTCCATTCCAAGACGTCTTCTGGGCAAAATTTGAACGTTATTTATTTTTCCTCTATTCCAAGCCTCAAGAGCTTTCGAGAAGAGCCAAAATGAAGGCGATTGATCTTATAATTTTCCAGCAATAAAATAAATGAGGCACCTTCCTCTTAGACCCTTATAATTTAGTGTGAACTACACATTTAATTATTTTGACAGTCTGTTGGGGTATACTTAGATTTTAAATAGAAATTCTCTTCAATCGAAGCTCCTTTGGATGAAATAAGTGAAATGAAATCCAGCTCTGAGCAGGGTTTGCACAAAAAAAAAAAAAAAATATTAGGCAATGTCCAGCTTTTTTCTACCAGCCCTTTCAGGTCCGACCTTTTAATTTCAATCGAATGACTCGAAGGGTGAAATTAAGTTTTATCTGGCAGTTAATTTTTTTTTTTGGTGTGCTTTGAAGCGAAGAGAAAATCATATTGCTACGACTAGTGTCCCCACCCAGGTGGAGTATAAGCAGTGAAAAAGCCCAAGCTTCACTAGTCGCTAGCAGCGGCCAATGAAGACAGGGTCCAAAATTAACATTAAATACCCAGCATAGACAGGGATTGAGGCATGTATAAGCAGCGCGAATTGTCGTGAACCCTAACTCTGAACAGAAGATCTTAGATGAGGAGAATCTTAGCAGCGATCATTTCTCTATCCCATGCCTCTCTGGTATCAGCTGAAATCACTGAAGCATACATCGGTGCCCAAACATTCATTGAAATCACAGGATGGTTTGCCATGGATCAAAACTGGAGGCAACCTCATTTCCCCTGTTCTAAGGCCTAAGGCTTAGTGAGCATCTTTGATGTCACTTATCACCTGGCTGAAATACTCAGTTTTAAAGCAAGTTGGATTTTTACTTTTCGCGAAATCCTTGTGTCTCTAAATTTTTGTCAACGACAGTTCTGTCCTGTTGCAGATACACGAGTGTACATTTTCGCACCATATCAAAATGAGACCTTGGCAAAAAGGAAAGGAGCAATGCCTAGAATCGGATGAAGCTGATAGTGATGCCGGATCCGAGGAATTGGATGAAGATGAAAGTGATGCAGGATCGGAAGGATCGTTTGATTCAGAATATGATACGCCGTCTGAAATTTGGTCAACTTTGCAAAAATTGAAAACGCCGGTTGCCTTTGCTTTCGGTGCTGCTAGTCCGTCCCTGCCAAATCCGGGCATCCAGATTCTACATCATGGGCTCATAGGTTTACCCTTATCAAGCGATGATGCCAAGAAAATAATTTCGCAAGCTAGCCTATCCCCATTTGGTAGAGGAGAGAAGACAATAGTCGATGAATCCGTCCGGAAATGCTGGGAGCTAAATCCAGGCCAGTTTTCTCTTGAGAATGCAGAATGGAGTAAAGCTATGAAAATAATACTGGATTCAGTTACCATTGGACTTGGTATCTCTGCAGGAACAGAGAATATTTCAGCGGAACTATACAAGCTTCTCTTGTATGAACCTGGATCTTTTTTTAAACCTCATAAAGACGCTGAAAAAGCGCCTAGAATGTTTGCCACTCTTGTGGTGTGCTTACCTTCACCTCATGAAGGAGGAAAGCTCATATTAACCCATGACAATAAGAAATATGAGTTTGAGACAGCCGCAACATCACGTTTCAGTACATCCTACGCCATCTGGTACTCTGACATTACTCACGAGATCCTGCCCATTAAATCTGGTTATCGTCTTGTCCTTACGTACAATCTGATTCGAAAAACTAATTTTGTAGTACCATCATACAATCTGGCCCGTGGTCTAGTTCAGCATCTTTCCAAGCTGCTTCAACAGTATAATTTGCAACTTGAAGAGGGTGATGATGAATTACCTCCTTTCTTGTTGCATAAATTGAAGCATAAATACACACAAGCTAATCTAAGTTTCAATTTGCTCAAAACTCAAGATCTTACTCAAGTTCTAACACTCAAAGAGCTATCAAAGGAAATTGGATTTGATATTTACCTTGCGATTTTGGAGCTTACAGTCAACAAAGATGATGAATTTGACGATTGGGATGTAGAAAAGTCTCTAGATTTGACAAATGTAGTGGAGCTCAATGGTAACCTTGTTGTTGAGAGTCTTGACTGTCCAGATAATGCTCTCATTGATCCCACACCACAAGACGAAGGAGAAGCAGATGAAGAAAATCACGAAGGACCAACAGGAAATGCAGGTAGCCCTGCTACCTATTGGTACCGTGATACCACTGTTGTTCTTGTCCCTCCTTCAAAGCAGCTGGACTTCGTTTTTAAATTTTCTTCTAATGGTAATGTCATTAAGCCTCTGTTCTCCAAGTTGATGCAGAAATTTTTGGGGGATATAGCTCTAAAACCAGAGTTGGAAAAACTTTGTAAGTTAGCTTTGAAACAGAATGGGTATGAACATTATTCAGAAACTGTTTGTGACTTTTATCAACAAGCAGCAGCTGCTGTTTTAGGTTTAGGCAGGTTTGAACTTTTTGATGAAGCATGCACCAAGACAAAAAATAAAATTATTCCTCTGCTGGATATTCCTCAAAAACTAGGTGATTGGGCTGCAAAGAAAGGTCTTGCTGCAATGAGAGACAGATTGTCGAAAGGTTTGCTCACTGCACCCACCATCTCTAAGAAAATTAACTTTTTAGAATCTGTCGCTAGAGGTTTTAATGGAGCTTTGCAAGGGCCTAGCTTTTCAGCCAAAAAAGTTGACTTTAAGCAGTGGTCGAATGAAGCACTTCTCTCGGCGATTTCCAAACTTAATACTTTCTCAAAAGCTGATGGTGTATCATTGGGGCAGCTCCACAAAATTATGAACTGGGATCTGTTGAAGTCAAACTTAGTGCCAATTATCTCGAGAGCTACAACAATCGTTAGGATAGCTTTTACAAATGAATTTATGTCATCTTTTCGGTCACAACTTAATGAAGAGCAGTCGTCATTTATCCAGTCTATCATTCTAACTATCTGGAAAGATTTTGTCTTTGATTCTGTCCAGCAAGAGTCTAAAACAAGTTATATTCTCAATGCCATTGACTTGCATCTTATCATAGAGAACACCATAAGAGTCATATCCCTTGAATACGTTGAAGCTGAAGTAATACCAACAATGATTAATGCAATACCCAAAGTCTCCACTAAGTGCTCCAAGGAACTGTTTATTGAACTTGTGCAGCTAATCCTAAAAAATGAACAAGCAGGCTTTAGATTGCCAACTATTGATTCAGTTCCACCAATTTCTCATAGACAGTTCGTTCAAGCTCTTTTGATAAAGTTTTTAGTGGATAATGTTGGTGTTGAACCGCAAGCCCCGAAGAATTGGTCCCTTCCCGTGGGCTGCCTTTGCAAGTGTAAAGACTGCTCTACAGTGATAAATTTTCTGCAAAATCCTTCAAAACAGCGTTTAGACTTTCCGTGTTCCAAGCCTCGAAGGTATCACCTTCACCAAAAGTTCACTGATCGCAGTGATTCATCTTACGATGTGGTGACTATTCGCACCCATAACCCTAACATTTGGCGGATTACCAAGAACCGACGAGGTCATGAAATGGTGTGGTCTGAATGGTCAAAAAGAACCGCAACAGCTATTGACACTCTAGTAATGTTGAAAAACTGTGAGCAAGTACGTGGTAAACTCGAGATGTACCTGCAACCGTACTACAACTTAATAATAAAAGCAAGTGTCAAAGAACTTCCAGACCTAAAGCACTTGGTCTCAACAAATGCAGAAAGTAACGATGCTGGTCCTGCTCACAGCTGCAGCACTAATCAGGGTGGTGTGATAAGTCTCAAAAGAGGAGCAAGAATGACCGACTCACAAAATCCTAGAATCGTCAAGCGCACTAAATGATAATTAGAACTTTGAAGCAGGTAGTATCAGAGTCTATTCAAACACATGAGACTTTTAATGAAGTCTATTAGCTTTTTGTATATAGGTCATCTGAAGTCATAGTCATTTTTTCCTACCTTTTTTGGCCTAGGAAGAGATCAGTATAATTTGAGGAAAATATGTATTCGCAGAACTTAGCTCTTAATGTTCTCAAATTTCTCATCAACTGTAACAAGCAGTTATCTATTATTGGTTAAGTGTTAGGAGTGTCCGAATTTGAGAAATTGCTTAGCCTCAATGCCCTGCCCTAATTAAGAAATTGCATTTTTGTCCAAAAACAAAGCTCTCAAAATTTGAGTGTCATGTATGATGCTATTTAGCCGAGAGTTGCTGTATGTTCATGGTGGGTTTGAATGGAAGTTTCTAGAGAAAGGCAAATTTCATTATAGTGGCTCATTCTGTTACTCTAAATCTGCTAGCTTATGGATTTCAAGGGCCAGACTGGAAGAGGAGGGGGGGTGCCTGATCCTTTATGAGATAACTCTAACAAGAACCCCTCCCTGCTGACCCACTGACGGCCCCTGTGGCATATGACTGTGCCACGTACTATAATCAAGATTAATGTAGACAAGAAATCAATGGCATTCAGCAGGGAACTGTTATAGATAGTGAAGAAACAGGGAATCTACATGTCGTGAAGCAGTTTTCAGACAGGTTTTTCTCCTACAAAAACTGATTTATATTTATCAACAACTAAAGAACACCCCTCCTCCCCAAGGCCTGACCTTTTTTTTACCTAAATTCATCGGAATTTAGAAGCCTAAAGTCTAATAGATTTTGATTTAATTTGAACTCAAATTACTATTGTACTGAAATTTAGTACCTAGTCTGATCCTCTGTTACACAATTCACCATTTTCCACAAAAACTTCCATTCAAGCTCATAAATATGAACTGATAAAAAGGCTCAGCAATAAGTTTTCAAACAATGCTCAAATTTCAAGACCAAAACGCAACTTTTATACCATCTACATCAGCGTTAAAACTTGAAATATACGCAAATTTGGACGTCTCCACCCATTTGTTCAAATGGCGATTGTCTTTTACCAACCGAAATTAATTTCAATTCACAGATTAATACACTTGCTAGGAGTGCTCATTACCAAATGCTTGTATTTAATTTTTACATTGATGCTTTTTACGTTGGACTAATTTTTTTAAAAAAATCATTGATTATTATTTAATATCATTGATTTGGATTCATGCTAATTGTAACCTTGCCTAAACTGGGAATCCATGCAAGCTCACTAGGTCTTCTATTGAAGAACACCCTATTCCAAGAAGTGCTAAAATTCAAATCCATATTGGTCTTGTCCTTTCCTCTGTCATCAGAACTCAATTACTCCACCATCAAAAAGGTAGTCCCTAAAACAGCCTAGTTTTACTAGCATAGTCGTCATATGATATACTTTTCATCTTCCAGTTATTTTGAGCACAAGTGATTTTTAAACATCACTAGCCAATGAAACATCATGAGAAAAGCATTTAGGGGAAAACCTGTCTCCAAAGAAAAAAATCAAAATGTTTCCGATTATCCCAACAAAAATGTTATTTCAAATAACTCGTCGGACGTCATATGTTGGAAACTTCTTCGACCCAGGATTCATGGAAAAACCACACATGTGTAATTCATGTTGAAGGACATCCCCTTGATCTCAATTATTTACTGATGTATCCAGTCCTTTTATGCCTTCTTTTTAAAATGACAGATATAAGATGTTTTACAGTTTAATTGTTGAAATGAGATTATATTTTGACTAGACGTTGGGAAAAAATGTGTTTTTATATATTTCAGCTCATAAATTATGTGTGTTACACCTATGTTTTTGTCTGCTCTTCAAGTCATGGGGTGCTTGTATTTTAGAAACGTTTCTCTTCCTTCTCTCTCTGTTTGCCTCCAAAGAATGCGAATATGTTTCATATACTTTTAATTCCTCCATTCACACTCCTACATTTTTCAGTTTGTTTCTTTGGCATTAATTGAGGAAGAATTTACTTTTATTTATATTATAAGTATTATTTAGTAACAGACTTTGATTATTAATAGCTTTTATTGACCTTTTAACCTTTTTCATAAGCGAAAGCACTATTTCTACACAAAATATTCCACCAGTCATCAGGAAAGGCAACAATTCATGTGAAACAGTTATTCTTCTACAGTATTATAGTCGTCAGTTTTGAGTCATATTGATGGTTGAAGTCAAAATATGCGCAACTTTGATTGCCTCCTAGCAGAGAACTGCTCATTTTTATTTTTTTTTTACTACGCTACCTAACCAAATTTTCTTGAAATTTCCTATGAATTTTCTTCTTTTAGAAAAAAAAACAATCAGTGGAAAATTTTAAGGAGTTATTTTGGCTTGTTTTCTTTTGAAAAATTAAAACGTAATCAGACATTTTTGAACATTATGATGGTGATTTTCAGTTTTTTGACTTCAGCCTTTGATGTATCGTTTCATTGTAAAAATATAATTGTGTTTAGAAAGTACTTTTTTTGTAAGCTCAAATAGGCACTCAAAATAGGTTCTTCTGTTGACTACTTACCTGAGGAAACAGGTCTGTTCAACCACTTACAGCTGAGCCTTTCATCAGTACTGAATCAGTGACAATGCTTGGATTATTTGTAAATTGCTGTTGACAGTTTAATGCCGGTAACGTTGAAAAATACCACCTAGTGACATTACCAGATCATTCAGCAAAAAATCGTACCTATTTTAATTAATATTTATTCTGTTTAATTTTCAAATTTCTCCTTTTTATTTAGAGACAGTATTAGCATTAAGTCAGTATTTTTTACAATACCCCTTGAGATAACTATTTATTCGTATATTGATTCTTTATTCCCACCCATTTTTGTTCTTTATAATTTTCGCGTATATTTATTTGCGAATAAAATAATATTAACAGCCAGATGACTTTTGATTGCTTACCCATCCCCCTTTTTGGAACATAAATTAGTAGCAAAAACGGAGGGAGTCAGCTTACTCATCGCAAACAAGCTCAGATCAATGGATCAAAATTAAGAATTAAAAAAAAAATCCGAAGCCGAAGTTTTTGTAATAAATAAATTTCAGCCTATACCCAGCTTAATGTAAATTTACTGTCACTTACAATTTTAAAATAAGAAGTGACAAACAATTACATAAAATGTTAAGTTAATTAAGGGAAAATGAAAACTACAAACTTACCGAATGATTAAATAAAAAATTTAACAGACTGCACATTTGGTTGTTGTTGATGAGAGGATGAGGGAAAGCTTGCCTTGAAGAAAATTAGTTTTGTTTTAAATGAAACAAGGGTCTTAAAGCGTGTTAATTCCTAAGCTTATACCTTGCTATGAAAAGTTTAAACTTTTACTGTAGTCGCTGCGAGGTTAAAGATTTCTCTATGACCTATTAAAAGGAGGCTCCGAAGTGGTCTCCTCTAATTTTAATTCGATCTGCCCCAATAATTAGTTCAAGGACAGCAGATTGATGGGTTCCTCATTTTTTGATAATTAGCTCCTTTGACATGGAATCAATGGAAAATTTCAAAAGGCTGTGTTCGTGGATAGTATAAGATGTTCATCATTGTGGCAAGGTATTCAACCTGCACTAAAAAGCAATAAGTTAAGCAAAAATCAGAAACAAAGATTTTTTGCGATTTCTTTTCAATGTTTTAGCTTACAATACACTCCTTCTCAAGAAGTCTGTAAAAGAAGCATAAGTCAATCAGTATAAAATTGTTTTTAAAATTAATATATTGCCAAGGTACTTTTCTCAAATTTTTGCAGTCTTTACTGCAACTTCTGAATTTTTTGTGTAGTTTTGTCACCTAAAATTCCTGTTTTTGCATGAACTGGGATCAGAAAGCGTGTATTGACTGTTGTAAAAATGTTCTTGAGAAACCTCGTGATGTTAAGTATCATAATTAAGGATGAACAGATTCATCTCTGTACAGTTTGGTATTTACTCATCAGTTCTGGCACTCGATGCAACCCAAAAGTTCAAACGCAGGAAATGTTAGCGTTTGTCATGTAGTATTACTGTCTTATGTTATGTACCATATCTGTCTTCAACAGTCTAAATTACTCACTCTTTTTGGTGCATTTTTTTTATTATTTCTCAAATTTTTATTGAAGAAATTTTTACTTGTTACAGGTGAAGCAGCAAAAGATAACATCACTACAAAAATGCGACGGTCACATAGAAAGGAGAGAAGTCCTGGATCTGTTGAAGATGAAATGGAGTCTGAAGGAGATTTGTCAGATTCAGGAGGTACTCAGACTAGTTCTCATCAAGATTTGCGATCCTCAATTCGGTCAAGTTTGAAAAAAATAAAAACTCCGATTGCTTTTGCATTCAGTGCAGTCAGCTCATCCTTGCCAAACCCTGGCCTCCAACTTTTGGACCATAGAGTCATTGGTCTACCACTCTCCCCCGATGATGCCCAGAAAATAATTTCGTTAGCCAGTCCATCTCCTTTTGGAAAAAAAGAAGAAACTTTAGTTGATGAGTCAGTTCGGAGATGTTGGGAGCTACAGCCATCTCAGTTTTCCTTAAAAAATCCAGAATGGGGTGAAGCCATGTCTATAATGCTAGACTCGGTCAAGACAGGCCTTGGTATCTTAAAGGGAACAGGGAAGATCTCCGCAGAACTAAACAAGCTTCTTTTGTATGAGCCAGGAGCTTTCTTTAAGGCCCACACAGATAGCGAGAAAGGGCCAGGTATGTTTGCCACCCTCGTGGTATGCTTGCCCTCGCCTCATGAAGGAGGGAAGCTCGTTTTAACCCATGACAATGAAAAGTATGAGTTTGAGACGGCATTATCCTCTAATTTCAGTACATCTTATGCTGCATGGTATGCAGACATTTGTCATGAAGTATTACCGGTAACGTCTGGGTATCGCCTTATGCTCACTTATAATCTTATCTGGACTGCTGACTCCATTGAGCCTTCACATAATATTGCCCGCGGGCATGTCCAGCAACTTTCCACCTTACTTCAACAATATAATTCACAACTTGAGAGTGAAGAAAATGAATTGCCTCCAATTTTATTACATAAATTGTATCACAAATACACAAAAGCTAATCTACAGTTTAATCTCTTAAAGCCAAGAGATTTGGTCCAAGTCCAAATACTCTCAGAGCTATCTGCTAAAGTTGGATTTATTATCTACCTCGCAACTTTGGAGTTAACAGTCGAAAAAGACGAAGAATGTACTGATTATGAAGAGAAATCTCAACAGTTGGAAAACATTGTAGATCTTGACGGCAAACTTGTTGTCGAGGATTTTGATTACCCAGAAGGTGCTTTTCTTGATCCAAAGCCACAAGATGGAAGAAAAGCAGATGAAGTACATCGTCAAGGTTGGACTGGAAATGAAGGTTGCCCAGTTACATATTGGTACAGAGACACCGTTGTTGTACTTGTACCTCCTGCAAAACAGCTGGAATTTACTTTCCATTTCAGTTCTAAGGGGAAAGTTATTGAGCCACTGTTTTCCAAGCTCATAAAAACATTTTCTGAGGATGCAGCTCAAAAACCGAAATTGGAAAAACTTTGTGAGCTAGCTTTGAAACAAAAGTTAACTTGGCTTGATTGTCCGTACTATTCAACATCGCAGAGCCATTCAGATTTTGAAAAATTTTTAGAGAATACTCCTCTTTTCTTCAAACAAGCCGCAACTACTGCTCTAAATTTTGGCTATTTTGAACTTTTTGACATAGCAAGTAAAAGGACAAATGACAAAATCATGCTCATGCCTGATATTCCTCAAAAATTAGGTCGTTGGGTTGCTTCCAAAGGCTTCACTACTATGAAGGATCGACTAATGAAAGGAATTAATGTTGCACCCTCCATTTCTGAAAAAGTCAAATTTTTAGAATCGGTTATGATTGGTTTTGAGGCAAATTTGCAAGATTCAAGTTCCACAGAAAGCTTTGACCTAAAACAATGGTCAGACACTGCATTATTCTCAGCTATTTCTCAACTTAGTACACTTTCAAAAGCTGATGGAGTATCACTCGGGAAACTCCATAGAACTACGGACTGGTGTCTGTTCAGATCGAGCTCAATGCCAATCATAGAAAGAACTGAGACTGTGGTAAAAATAGCCTTCACAAATGAATTCATGTCAACTTTCCAGCATGACCTCAATCAGGAACAGAGATCATTCATTGAACCTATTATCTGCAGCATCTGGAGAAATTTTGCTTTTGACTCTTCGCAGTCCAAGTCAGTGTCGAACAATGCCCATATCAAAGATATGGTCAAAGAAAATGACTTGCTTCACATTTTGGAAAATACTATCACAGTCTTACCTCCTGAATATCTTGAGACTGCAGTCATACCAGCTCTGCTAAATGCAATTCCCAGTTCCTCAAAAGAGTGTGCGCGTGAAGTGTTTATTGAGGTAGTGCGCATGATCATTAAAAACGAGCTAGCAGGCTTCAAACTACCAACTGCTGCTTCGGTTCCACCAGCCTTGCATAAAGTTTTTGTTCAAGCTCTTTTGGTAAAATTTTTGATCGAAAACGTTGGTTTAGAACCCAAAGCACCAAAGGATTGGTCCCTGCCAGCCGGCTCATGTAATTGTTCTGACTGCACAAAGGTGAATAATTTTTTACGAAATCCTGTTCAGCAAAGTCTAGATTTTCCTTGTGGGAAGCAACGAAGACTTCATCTTCATCAGCAATTCACCAATGTTAGTAAAGCTACTTATGACGTGGTGACTGTTCGTCAGCGGAATCCTAATGTCTGGCGAATCACTAAACATCGCCGTGGTTACGAAACGTCAAAATCTAACTGGTTGAAGAACACAGAAACAGCTGTCGAAACGTTCGCCAAGTTGAAAAATGATGAATCTGTGAACGGTAAACTTGAAATGTATTTGCAACCGTACTACAGTATAATAATGAAAGCAAGTGTCAAAGAACTTCCAGACCTAAAGCACTTGGTCTCAACACAAGAGACAAGTAAAAATGTTTGTCTTGCTCACAATTCTGAAATTAGTCAGGCTGATTTCAAAGGTCTCAAAAGAGGTATGGATGAAATTGACCCGCAAAATCATGGAACTGCCAAGCGCACCCGAGAATTTGATGGTACAGAAGTTTAGCCGGACTCAATTGGTTGAAAATAGTCTCTATTTTTTAGTTTTTCTAAGTATTTCTCCAAAAAGTATATTTTTTTCTTATTATCCTCTTTAAGTGTTCAGTTAAAAGAAATTAAAACTTAAGTACCCATACAAAAGAATTGGAATGGAATTAACTGAGTAATGTTTTGAACTAATTTTGGCTTCAAAGTTGTCAATATTGCTCATTCTTTTCAGTGCTTTTTTCTACAGAAATTTGATTGTGCCTTAATTTAGTCGGTCCACTCACTATACCTACCCGGTGAGAGCTTGAGGAAGTGGTCTCATAAATGTGTCCCAGTGTTATTTTTGTCTGTAACGTCGCAACAAACATTTCCACAACTACCTCTGCCAAGTGGGGTTTTCCTTGTTAAGTTTATCATAATTTAAGATTTTTCTTTTCCTTTTGCCACAACAAATCCAAAATCTAAACCAAATGTTTGAAGTAATCTACCTTTCAATTCAAAGTTTTCTAATCCTTGTGTTCAGTACCAATTATTCTTTCATCCTATATCTTTATGATCACAGCATTGCAAGTCTTGTCTTACCTTTTTAGTCTTCAATTGACCTCTCAAAAATCAGGCAGAATACATAGTTCATAACTACTCTCAAGTGGTTTGAAAGATATTTTGCTGTCGAAATAAATTTCAACTAGGCCAAAAAATTCAAGCAAGTGACTAAAATTTTTACAGCATGTTTTATCCACTATTTTTCCCGTACCCATAAAGATTTTGTACCAATTTAAAATTACCTACTCATAGGCATTTGCAAGCTTCCCCCAAATAGCCCTTCATTTTTTAGATGTATGCACTTACTCCTCATGCTCCGTACTAAATGTCACTATTTAGTTGTAATTTTGTAAAATTTTCAATGTTAGAAATAAGTGAAGTTTGAAAGTATTAAGAATAATTCTGATTTTCACTTTCTTGTTAAGTATCCATGTAAATGTCTCCTTTTTTTTTTCATTTGTTTATTTCTTTCACCTTGAAGACTTTTTAGCTAACTTCTGAATTTTTTGAAACAGGCATACCTCATTTAAAATCTCCTTTTCCTCCTTGAAATTGTACCAGGTCTTCAATGTCAATCGCTGGTATCATGAGGTCATCCATATTTTTTCAATAATTTCTTCTCCCACGCACTACTTAAGATTTTCTCTCTACTTTTATTATTTGTATTTCCATAATTTTTCTGTGTTAACAGTTCTAAATATATACTTTTTGATAATGAAATACCTTTTTCAACTGGATCTACTTTTTTAAGATATCTGCAGCTACCTCTCCAAAAATAAACCTACACTACTGAATACGCCTGAAAAATCTTGTTTAGAGCGTTTTCAAGATATGATCGAGAGTACATGTATTTTCTTCAATTTTTTAGAATATCACCACCAAAGTAATAGGAGCAATTTTTTATTTATCGATCCAAGAAACTGCACATTTGAACATCCTGTAATATTACATCCAGTCACCATTTAATTCTGAATGTACGAAATTCATAATATATTTGACTAATTTTTAGCACAATATACTTACTCAAATGCTCATAAATTTTACAGTAAGATATGCATTAACACGTACCATGATAAGTATTGATCAATATGTTTATTGTAAAAAATCCTTGTATTGGACCATGAGGACGGACCCAACATGGGCCTAACTACACCCAACGTCCGATTTCTCTGCAAGCAGAAGCATTTCTTTCGACAGAAAGGAGATCAACGTTCTAACTTAGAATTTTCCGGGTGTAAACCAAGGGTATTGTACGGAAATTATCAAAGCGGTATGTTAGTTGGTCCCGTGTCTAAAAAAATTAATTTTGAGAGGAAATTAGGCGATGTGAAATGCAGTTAGGCTGAATCTGGCTGGGTAAATCCATCCGTGTCTATGTGTGTGAGCCACAAATTACAGATAGAAGTGGATTCAAATGAAGAATTGACAAGAAAGTGTTTCCTTCAAATGAAACTAAAAGTGATTTAAGATTTTCATAAGTTTGTAGTAATTCCTTAATAGGAATAATGTGACGAATGGGGGCAAAGTATTGTATAACTGGATTGCATTTTGCAAAAAGGAATCACTAGCATTGCAATGTTACTAAGATTGTGTAACTTCTTTTGTCTTAGAGGAAAAACCCGACTATCCATTACTTAATAGTTTCTATTTTACTCGCTAAAAACTGTGAATTTAAGACAAAAATTACCATCTAAATTTCATAGGTTTTCACGATTTCCGCAATTTTATTGCAAAAGATGAAGTTGCACAATCTTAGCACCAATGCAATGCTAGTGGTTCTTTTTTGCAAAATGCAATTCAACTGATCTATTATCTCATCAGATGAGGTAGTCAGGAGTGTGTTCCAAAAAATAGCGGTGTTTGACTGAGCACAGGGAAAGATTTCAGCCTACAAAAATTCAAAATTAAGTCAGATCTGCTGTCAGTGCTGTCAACAACAAAATGCCATAACTCCAAACAAGATTTTGCAATTTTTTTTCCCCATAACAAGGATAGGTACTCCTGATCAACACTATTTTTCATTTTGATGGGTAATGCTCACAGTGGTGCTGCAAGAAATGAGCGAATTTCCTGAATTTTTGCCATCCTCGGAAGATGTGTCCTGTGGCATTAAAGAAAATATTAAAATGTAATCTCGATCATCGCATAATCTAAAATCAAAATTTTTTCTATTAATTATTTTCTGTCTTTAGCAAAGGAGAATAACGTCGATGGCAAGTGTATTATCTGAGACAGTAATTTCTTTTCAGAGAGAGAATAGTGTGAAAATTCTCCTTAAATGAGGATAAGTAGAGGTATGGGACCAAAAAATAAAAAGTATATCTTAATCATTTCAATTGAGCTCAAGGCAAATATTTTTCTCTACTCATGTCTGTTAAGTATGCGAATAAATGGAAAAGGCTTTTAGAAGAACAAAATTTCTGTTCAAATTAAAGATGAGGGGTTGCGCATCAGAGAAAAAACCCTTTAGTCCTTTTAGAAATTTTTAGATTGATGCAGTATTTCAAAGCCATTGATGAGATTGAAAGATTTCCTGGTGCTCAATACAATTTTGTGTGATACTTCATCAAAATTATCTGTTAGTATTTCTTCTCAATGTTCGTTGTAATTATAAGTGTCCTCTTAGCAATTAGAATTAATTTTCACAGTTCTCTTAAATCTAAGAAACGACCTTAAATTGAATCACAACGTCTCTACCATTTAATTTTCATATTGGATGGTCCAGCATGCGTATTGACGCACGTGGAGACCAGGGCCCGTCAATTCGAATATCGCGTTCTAAAATTAAACTTCCCGCCCGCCCTCTAACTAATTTCTCATTAGTTCTCAAAAAATCCGTCGCGTCTGGTGACACGTGACAGCGCTACATGACAATCTTTTGTTGTTTTCGTTTTCTCCCTCCTCCTTCCTTCCTTCCTCCCCTCCCTTTTCTTCGGAACTAGCGGGCAGGGCCAATGTCCTGCGTGGCTATTGTGTTCATTAGCATGTTATTATTTCGAAATTAGCTATTAATTCTGATTTTTAGTGAAAAACTATTAGTGTTTCATCGGGCATTTGCCGTCTCAATCTCACCCACTTAACCAAAGTTTCCCCCTTTTTTGCCCTTTCTCTCAGCGGCTCACACGCTATCGGCCAACATGGATGAAATAGGTAAGTTTAATCATTGGATCCCTTTACTCTTTCCAAAATAATTTCCATAATGTTCTATTAATCTGATCATCCGTAATGCATAAGGTCTTCCTCTGGTGACCGCCACTGGAAAATGGATAATGGATAATGCAGGCTCTAGAATCAATTGACATGCTGTGAGATAAGGTTATGTCACCTGGACCTGGAATTCATTCCCACCTGTGATAACACGATACCTTCTGTATATAATTTAATCAGTAAGCAGATTTTATCCGCATGATTCGTCCCAACCCCTCTTCTGTAATATCATTACATCCCACTGGATCAAGAAGACCCTTTGATTCTCTTCGTAGGGTTAGGGCATCGAACTATATGTCAGGATGTGATGTTCTTTCATTTTACGGTGGAATTTCTACTGAACCGTAGGGACTAACATTTAATGCATTTACTTCCTAATATTCAAGCATGACTATACCTCTTTTGGAATTAATTAAGCTGTCAGGATTAGTTATTAAATTTATCCGTTATGCACACCCTCTATTTGGGCAAGAATGAAGTTCGTTAACCAGTTCAAACTGGTTATGACCAGTCTACGAGCTCTTTTGTCTCAGCAAATTATATGTACCTTTTTTTGACCACCTTATCCCAGCTGTGTTTTCCATGACCTGGCAGTGAACAAACCTTGAGAAACACCAGTTCGAATCTTTGAATTTTCATTTCAGTGGAATGGAGGACCTGAGATTTCCTGAAGTAGGTACAAGCAGATTTGAATGCCAGAATTCATAGATCTGACAGCAAACGCTCAAGCTGTAATCTTTGAATTTCAGCTGTCAGCTGTGCTCATTATAAGTCTATTCTGTCACTTTTCGTACGCTTTATGACCTACGTGAAATTGATGAGGGATCTTGAAAATTTCATAACTTCCTAACTTTGCCGAAATGAGCTCCATGGAGGCTTGTCAGCTAGCTAATTAGTTGCATTTAAAGGCTGCTCCAGTCATATTTTGCTTCTGTTAAATGAATCAGTTGCATTACTTCTGGGACAAATTGTGTACATGATGGAGGAGCAGAAATTTTGATACACCACATTTAATTTAGATTATTACTTCGGTAGTAATAGCAATCAATATTTCTCATCTCCCTACCCTAGGTAAATAGATACTCCAGTTCTTTTTCTATGTAGCCATTGGTGCGAATTCAGTAGTAAAATAACATTGCATCACATTGTATTGCTTGCCTTAGCCCATGAGACAACATTTTTTAAACTTGATTACTTACTAATCCTACTCAATATCATTTTTCAGGGTACACAGGTAAAGATGGGTCATCCTGCGATAGGAATGTCGAGATCTGGAAAATCAAGAAGCTGATAAAGAGTCTGGAGCTTGCGCGTGGCAACGGAACAAGCATGATTTCGCTTATAATTCCCCCTAAAGATCAAATATCACGTGTCAGCAAAATGTTAGCTGATGAGTTTGGCACGGCCTCCAACATCAAATCTCGCGTAAATCGTCTCTCCGTTTTGGGTGCCATTACATCTGTTCAACAACGTCTAAAACTCTATTCCAAGGTGCCACCAAATGGTTTAGTCATCTATTGTGGAACTATTGTAACGGATGAAGGTAAAGAGAAAAAAGTCAACATAGATTTTGAGCCATTCAAACCTATCAACACATCCTTGTACTTATGTGACAATAAATTTCACACTGAGGCTCTTTCAGCACTTTTGGCCGATGATAATAAATTTGGCTTTATAGTCATGGATGGAAACGGTACATTATTTGGCACTCTTCAGGGTAATTCAAGGGAAGTATTGCACAAATTTACTGTTGATCTACCTAAGAAGCACGGTAGAGGTGGTCAATCAGCTTTACGTTTTGCTCGTTTAAGAATGGAAAAACGACACAATTATGTTAGAAAAGTAGCTGAGACAGCAGTCTCCTTTTATATAACAAATGATAAACCGAATGTTTCTGGCTTAGTATTAGCTGGTAGTGCTGACTTCAAGACAGAACTGAGTCAATCAGACATGTTTGATCCCCGATTACAAGCAAAAGTTATAAAATTGGTAGATGTCTCATATGGTGGAGAAAACGGATTCAATCAGGCCATTGAACTAGCTGCAGAGTCCTTACAAAATGTTAAGTTCATTCAAGAGAAAAAACTGATAGGTAAATACTTTGATGAAATTAGTCAAGATACTGGTAAATACTGCTTTGGAATCGTAGATACCCTGCGTGCCTTAGAACTTGGGGCTGTCGAGACATTAGTTTGTTGGGAAAATCTTGATATTCAACGCTATGTCCTGAAAAGTCACTCCAGCCCTGAAGTTAAAGTTTTGCATTTAACGCCAGAGCAAGAAAAAGATAAATCTTACATAAGTGATGAGGCTGGTGTGGAATTGGAGTTAGTCGAGAGTCTGCCTCTTTTGGAATGGCTTGCGAACAATTACAAAAGTTTTGGAACAACCCTAGAAATAATCACAGACAGATCGCAAGAAGGTTCACAATTTGTAAGAGGTTTCGGTGGTATTGGTGGTCTGTTAAGGTACAAGGTAGATTTTCAAAATTTCCAGTGTGATGAGTTGGACTTATTAGATGATGACCTATACGACTATGACTAAGCGCTCTTTTTAGCTCTTTTTTCAATCATTAAACTTTTGTCGTCACGAAACCTTGATACAGAAGAATATCCAATTATTTCTCAGTCAAATTTTGTTTTGGGAGGTATCTAATTTTATCATTCTGAAGTAACATTATGTCTGATTTACATTTGCCGGATTCACCATTACCGAATTTCATGCAGCACTAGTTCCGAATGTATTGATTTGAAAGACTGTAAAACAATCTGTAAATTCTAGGTTACCACTTCCTGGATTATCTCTTTTAGTTTTTGCAATGCCGAATTTTCACCGACTAAATGGAAAAGCTCTGATTGTCAGGCATTTTTCTTATGTGAATACCTCTGGCCATGTGTAATAGGTATCAGGTATTCGAATTATCTTTATTACCATTAGAACGTATTACTAACCTGAATCTAGACTCAGTTGTAAAGAGGTGAAGTACAGAAGAAAAACATTCGCGAATCATTTTTCCACTAAGCTTTCTTTGAGCTGAGATTTATGCTTCCTTCTTTAAAACATTAAAAATGGTCAATTGTTTAATTTCTGTCCCTGAAAGTGAAACTGATGCTCAATCCGTTTTTCCAATATAAGACTAAAAATTTGTAAAGACCTTGATACCGGAATAAAGATGCATTCAAAAGTTCTTGTTATGAGTATCAACCTTTCAATTGTATAAAATCTTTTGAAAGTCGGAAAAAAGTGCTGTGATTATCGCAAGATGATGACTTGATATCACCAACACATCGAATGACAAATATGTTTTGAAGAAAAGACAGAGGATATGAGATTTCATCATGACATGAGATCATAGCTGAAGAAAGATGGATACCATCTACTGTCATAGTTACAGACATACCAACTGTCCTTGGTTTGCCAAAGCAAGCTTTTACACCCAGCAAATGGGTTCTCTCCTCCTAAATCCCATGTAGAGTGCTCTGTGCGCACCCAATTGAATTAGTGAAATCCCTCTCCATAGTGAGTGAAGAAAATAATAATGATGTGATCAAATAGCCAGAGGGAATGCTAAATATTCGGTTCTCAAGGGCTCTTTATATCAGTAATTACTACAAAAATGCTTTCAATCTGCAGAAACCATCAGATATAAATAAGCTGTGGTGAAAATATACATCTCACTTTAGCAAGTTGTGGATTTCTTACTGCTTTATACTTTGTGATAGAAAACCAACAATTAACAGCAATCAAAGGTATCAATATGAAAGTTTCAATAAATTTTATGTAAATTTGAAAATATAAGATTTTAAGGTCAGCTAAGAACTCTGCAATCAATGTATGACCTTTTCTTGCTTTAACATTCATTCACTGGTATTGTCTCTTCACCAGCTTAACTTACAAGTGAGTTAGGTTGGATGGATTGAACCCAAGGTACTATGCCAGGTAATAAGATACTGTACCATAACTTGTTTGCTCCAACAATGATTGCTCCAAGTTTCCTTAGTAGTATGCAGTTCTTCCAAACCTGGTGAACCTAGAAATAATCTATGGCTTAGCTACAATCACGCACAACCAGTTTTGGAACACCACCAATGAGATACGCATTTTTGCAGTTTCAGCGTCGATCTTCGGTCATTGATATCGTCAATTCTTGCTAAATTAAGGAGTAGAATGACATTTTAAGCTGCTTCAGACCTCTTTTAATACCCCTGCTACCCGACCCAACATCGAAATTTTATTCCTCTCTTGCAAGAAATTGTATTACTTGTAATGTCTTTAATCCAATAATTTACATCCTATTTTTTGAAGGATTTGCCTTGAACATTTGTACTGTTTAGATTTATATTTTTTTGTACTTTTTGTATAAATATTTTTCTACGAATAATAGTCTCAAAGTTCTTTAAGAATGCCTCTTAGAAAACTCGATCATATCTAACTTTTTGAATTTTTTATCATAAAATAGTATTCTAATTTTATTGAAATTGTGGCACTGTTTTTGTTTCAATTACACAGAGCTCTCAGCTTTCGCTCAGATTCATCACTCTTTTTTCTAAGTATCCTTCACTCATGGTTCATTTTGCATAAGGATCTTGCTGAACTTCATGTTGTTTTTTGAATTTGTGTGAAAAAAATGGTATCTTCCAAGCATAATAGAAAATTCAATGACAAGTGGGACTGATAAAAGGTTGTAAAATGAAGTTTTTGCAAAGAGAGGCTCTGTAAATTTTGTAGGGAAAATGCTAGTTGCTATTAGTTTATGTCTGTTTTGCAAGCGTAAATAGCATCTGAGAAAAGGACCTTTGTAATCTTTGAGTATTCGTTCCATTGTAGAACTTTTGAAACTTCTTAATACTTCGGTGGATGAAATAGTAAGTTTTCGTTTGTTGGTGTTCCGTCAGTTTTTAAACAATTTCGAATCTATTTGAATGAAAATGTATTACTGAAATATTTCTTATAATTTTTGTAAAACTGTCATTATTTCAAGCCAAATTTCGTCAAGAATACATCAATCTTGTGCGATGCGTTCTAAAATTTTCTGTCCAACTTGAAGAGAGAGCCCTAGAGGTTTTATTTCTTGTACTTAAGAAAAGAAGAAATAGTTCTGAGGAACACCATAGAACCTTACGTTTCCAGGTCGGACGGAAATTTTTAGAACACATTACACGCAAATTGACCTAGCTCAACCAATTTTGGTTAAGACCAAAGTGTAATTCAATCAAGAAATGTGAGAAGGATTTCAGTTTTCTTTTCAGCTTAAAAGATTCAAAATGGGTCAAAAAACGAAACATTATGTATGGAAACTTACTCTTAAATCCATCTACGTACCCAATGGCTCACACGGGTCTTAATATTAGTATTTTCTTCTCTCTCTCTCTTTGCAATGGCACAGCTTATTTAAATTTTCAGAAGATCGTGGCTTTTTTCACACATATAGTCGCTAATATATTCATGGTGTGGAACCTGCATAATGTGTCAAATAATTTGTCATGAAGTAATTGATATTTTCCTGTAAGTAAAAGAAATGTGTCTCAAGGTTTGTATTTTTATAATCACTCCAACATCTCCGTCATATTATAGCTCTGCCATCAATTATCTGCTTCTACACTACTATGAGTCGAATGAAATAAAGTGACTTCCTTATAGAAATCCATTCAGTCAATTCTTATCTCCTCGTCCCACTTATTCTTCAATCAACCTCTCTTGCAGCTGAATGCAAGCTTTAGGTTTTCAGGTTGTAAAAATTTTGCTCCTCGTTAATTTCTAATGCAACAAGTGCAAGTCTTTGTTAGTTGATCACAAAATTTCTGTCAAAACTATGAAGCAGTCTTCCGGATGTCATCAAGATAAACTTATCACAGGGACCTTAATCCATCCTTTACATGCCTGTTTCATCAGTTTTCTGCAAATTTGGCACCTGTCACAGTCACTGATTCACACTCAGCTGCACTGGTTTACAAAAATCCTGCCTACCCCTCAGAAAAATCGGAATTATTCCTCCTTAAGCCAGAAAGGTAACTAAGCAATGCATCAGTAAAAGAGCTCCAAAACGCTGTACCTGGTATAGGAGTAACTTTAACTGTGCCAGTTAAAATTAGTCTTAACTACTAGCCTTTTTGATTGTGTTATGTGAGAAAGGTTGACTCCAATTAGAGAAAAAAATTCATTAAGCAGCAAGAGTGTTCCTTTCATAAATGGAAGGATATTGACAGAAAAGGGCCAAGTCATATTCAGATCAAATTGAGAAATAACGGCTTGAATTTTTACCTCTAGCTGTAATTCAAGATAAAAATAAATTGTAACCCCTATTTTTCCATTTAACATAATATTTTCTTGATTTTGAGTTCCTACAAGAGAAAATGGGCGTCTAGTTAATTTAATAACTAAAATATTGGCTCATTTTTATGAAGATGCGACTTGGTTCCTCTCTGTAAAATAAAGTCTAAATTTTCATCGCTGTTGTTACCCAATACCTACAGACGCCTAAAATTAAGACCTGATGGGATAAAAACGCTCTTCAAAAACCTATCTGCTAATCCCACGTTTGTTACATTTTATGAACTGGTCAAAAATTAGCTATCTACATTGAAGGTTACCACTCGAAGTAGAAGTGCGATTGGGGAAGTACAATATTTGCTTAGCAGCACAAGGGTTAATTTAAAAGAATTCAGCTCACTCGGGTAGAAAGAAAAGATATAGAGAATAGGGTTGTCCTTTAGAAGAAAAATTTTATTTCAATAGGATTGATTAGAAAAGAGAAAACAGGAAAATAAAATCACAAGTTAAATTAAACCTAATATAAATTACAGACAATATTATAAATGTAGTCAAATCACATTTTTGAAAAAGTAACAAAGTCACTAAAAATTGAAAAATTATAATTTTCAGAACTCTCAACCATGAAGTAGAGTAAGTGGAACTCCTGATGTTATGAAAAATCATGTCTACAATTATTCCTTCTCTTCTTAAAGTCCTAAATGTTATGAAGGCAATATCTACTAAAATTATGATTTAATTTCAGCTGTCTCATACAAAATTCACGAATAATTAACTAAACTCAGTCTCTATGTGCAACTTCCTGACTTCCAATTTCCTACCCTAAAATTTACACAAGAACTACAATTAGTCCCACATTATAGACAAGCAGACAGCATAAAAGCTGAGAAAGGTTAGTTTTATTCGCAATCATTTACAATTATAGTCGATCTTGCATGGTTGAAACAAAGATTAGTGATATGACAAGGTACCTCTTGACTTTCTATTAAATTGAATCAAGAAATGAAAATTTTAAACTAGCTCACAATTTGTTACAGACTTAGTTTCCAACTTCTACACAAGATTCTCGTAAAAATTAAAAGCTGAGAAAGGAGAAGGCCTTCATATAACAGAAAAAAATTGATAAAAATGAGAGGAGCTCAAGAAGCAGCAAATCATTCGTTGTTCGAAACTGGAATTGCATATTAAATTTAGTTCATACAGGTTGTAGCATAGACTGCTTATGGACTTTAAAAATTGAAATAAGATACAAACAGTTAAGACGTACAGATTAGGGAACTTATCGTGGAATTTTTCATGTGAATTGAATGCAAAATGAAAAAATAAAATCAACAAAAAGTTAATTTGAAAAAAATTGCTTGTATTGCAAAGTAAAATACAATTCATGAAACCAAACGCCAGAAAACTTTTGTTAAAATTTACTTAAGAAATGAAGTAGCGTCACAGTGCAGGGTGGCCTTTTCACAGAAGGGTTTCCCGAACCGCATATTTTATCTTTTGTAGTGTTTTTTCTCTTGAAAATGGTCAAGTTTTTCTAAATTTTAATTTTATCTACCTACCTGTACAGTAAATTTTACTTGGAGGGCATTTTTACATATAAGAAAACACCAAATAAGGTTTCCCAAATTGTATATTATAATCTCTTTTCTTTTTTGCTTTGTTGTTAAAAGGTTGATGGACATTGGAAAAACCGGATTTTTGGAATGAGCCAATGTACCAATGTTTTAACCCTTAAACAATACCCCGAGCTGACAAGGACTTGCAATTTAGTGTCTACAATATCAGCTTCTCTCAAGTAGTAAAGCTCAGCCACAGAGCTTTGATATATATATGAAATTTACCCTCTAAACACAAGGGAAAAATCGAAAATTAGTTCAGACCAACCTCTTTCAACAGATGAAAATATGAATTGAAGCTGAAGTAATTTGAGACTAGAAGCCACCGGTGTCAGAGGGTATTTAGGATATGTTGGTGAAATCTTTACAGGAAACACTCAATTACACATCTGTCACAAGCAATACTTTTAATTTAACTATCTTTCCCTGCAAAACAGTAGAACAGACATTTAACATTGATTCAATGTTTGCCTCTCACGGACAAAGTCAGTCGACGAGCATCGAACTATTCTCTTCCCTGATATGAGGGAAAAAAACTGCCATCTAAAATTAACCCAGAATGATAAAGAATTTGTTTACTATTCTTGGATTATTTGGAGTCTTGGAAAGTTCTGAAAGGCATCTTGTCTGATAATATGAAACATCCAATGCAGAGCACATTTACAGCAGAAATGTTTTGCTACTTAGTGGCGGAAAAAAAGATGGAAGTTTATTTGAGAACAAAGATATTTCAAAATAATGGAACCAAAGGGAACTGATGCCTCATTCATGGTGTTATTTTCCATTCCAATTTAACAGTGGCTAGACAAAGTACTTCTTTGAAGAAGGTAACAAATTTTTACTCAAAATATTGGTGATTTGAATATCAAATGTTCAGGAGGTTTCAAACATTTTGTCTTAGCCCCAAACAAAGAGATGTTACAACCGATACCTAGGACAAGATTTCATGACAAAAGCAAAGGGCCGATTAAAAAGTGAGGAATGGAATACCAGCAGAGTTACACTAGTGGCTAGATAATCACTGTCTTGCAAAAAAAAAAAAAAACCCAGAAAGCTGACATCACAGGTCTTTTTTAACAGATAAGTTTTCAACAGTTCCTGAATTTCATGAAAAGTGCTAAAATGCAACAGCAAAAGAAACTGGGCGCAAGAAGTATCCCAACTTACCAGACGGAGAAAAACAAAATCTGGGATTACATTTGAAGACTTTAATCGGTTACCTTGCATTATCATAAGCTAATAGCTGGGAAGAAGAGTTCTTGGGCAGACAACAATTCAAACATCAAACTTTGATTTACGGAGTTTGCAAGGTTACAAAAACTTGAGGCATAAACTTTTCTATAGAATGTCTGGAAATCAAAAAGAAAGAAGTCCTACGGCGAGAAAATACGCTTGAATGAGAATTTTCCATCTCTAAAATGAGAATTTCAGTTTTATACTGACTTTTACCACAGATTGGCAAAAATCACCGAGTCTTTTGTCAAAATAAAAAAGTAAATTCCCATGCCAGGTATCGTGCATCTTTGGTGAATGAATGATTTTTTACTGCTGTGGGTTTAAAGGTCTCATTTGTACTGATAAATACTTGTTTTTACCGTTGCCATGCAAGAAGTTAGTGTAATTCCACCCCTTCTGATATTTTTGTCTTCATCAGTGAATACATATACATCAATTGGATGAGAAAACTATCATTTTATGTTGTAAATATTTGTGGATTTAAAATCCAGCATAGAATTCCATAAATTAATCGAGTACTTCTTTAAAGGTTGCCTGTAGTCGTACAATGGCATCAATAACATTAAATACAACAAAATTAAAAACAATTATGAAATATTTATGATCAAACTTTTATCACATTTCAATAGAAAACGTAGATTTGGGTTCTTCATTTTCCACCTGCCCTCATTTTGATGGGAGCTTCACGTTCTTCCACAGGTTTTCCTCTTATGTACACTGGACCTGATTTACCCTTGACAGCATCCTCACCGATGTGAACACTCAAAACATCAGAACCAGGTATCTCAAACATTGGTTCAAGCAATAATGATTCCATGATCGCTCTTAAACCGCGGGCACCAGTCTTCCTTTCCATTGCTAACTTTGCAATTGCTAGTAATGCTTCTTTAGAAAAACTGAGTTCTACTTTATCCATGCCAAAGAGGATTTGGTACTGATTCACCATTGCATTTTTTGGCTCGGTGAGAATGCGTACTAAAAGCTGTTGGTTGAGAGAGTGAAATGGAACCAGAACAGGAAATCGTCCAACAAACTCTGGTATCATACCAAAGTCAATAAGGTCTCTAGCTTCAACTTGCCTTAAGTAAGCATCTTTTTCCGAATTATCCTCTTCTACAGACACGGCAGCACTTTGATCTGCCAAATCAGCGAGAGAAGCTACCCGACGGCCACCAGACTCGCTCATCTGGGCACCAAAGCCTAGGTATTTTTCGTGTTTACGACGACTAATGAGACGATCGAGACCATTATATGCTCCAGAGGCAACAAAAAGAATGTTAGTTGTATCTACCTGAACAGTTTCCCCGCGAAGTTTGCGAGGAGAGTTGCGTTCAGGCACATTGACGATGGTTCCTTCAAGCATTTTTAACATTCCCTGTTGGACTCCTTCTCCACCTACATCACGGAGTTGATGGATTCCTGGTACAGCACCTATTTTGTCCACTTCATCCAAGAAAACTATACCCATCTGTGCTCGTTCTATGCTGTAATTTGCATCCTGAAGTAACTTCGCGATCACACTTTCTATGTCTTCACCCACATATCCTGCTTGTGTTAGAGTAGTGCAATCGCAAATAGCAAATGGAACGTCCAAACACTGTGCAATGGTTTGAGCTAGAAGAGTCTTACCTGAAAAATTATAAAAAACAATTATCAAAAACGGCAGTTAATATTAAAAATAAAGCAGAATTTGATAAAATAGAGCCGTAGTGAATAGCTGAAGTATGATAAACAAAATTATTTGAAAACTGTTCCTAAACAAACATTGATTTAAAAAATGTTTTAAAACAATATTTTGAGAATTTATTAGAGATAATTCCGTCACTTGCTCTTGCTTTGTTTTGTCACTGAGATTCGACTGTTAAGTACCTACTTTAAACTAAATTCGTTCCTAATGCCTAACAGAAAACAACAAGGGTTTTTAATTTTACAGCTTTGAATTTTTTTGTGTTTAATTGAAAAGAAAATTACCCATCTTTCCCAAAAATTGATGAATTGAGGTAAGAGACAAAGAAAATTTAGAATTTTTTTTTAAATGATTTACCTGAGCCAGTTGGTCCAAGCATCAAAACGTTACTCTTGTCAAGTTTAAGCTCATGGTTATTAGAATCCAGAATGTTACTTCGACGTAAAGGCGGAGAATCAGGTGGCGCAGATTGAGATCCAATGCTATTGCCATGGCTGGCAGCATTATTTCCAAGGCTCAGTCCATTAATGTGCAGCAGATCTGCAACATAATTCAGAAGAATTCAATGAAAGAAAACTAAATAAAGCTTGAGCCATGACACAAAAATACTAAAAAGACCGAATCTTCCCAGAGAAAATTTTTCAGTAATGCAGTTTCAAAGATATTTTAAAGGAAGGGACACATGAAAGAAAGGGTGTTGGGGTGGTTTCATTGTGTTTCCATTTGATACTCTTTACAACCTCTAGATTCCAATGAGCTTCAGAAGTCTGACTTTCCAATTTCAATAGAAGCAGTGCTGAAAAGTTGATTTTTGGGCACTCTCATATGCAGAATCAAGTTGAGACTTTTTTAAGCAGATCATGATAGATACAAGGTTGCTGATTTTCTGTGGATCAGCTTATTATCGTAGGCTTAAATAATGAAGCCAAAATTAAACAACAATTGGTGTCTACAAAGTATTTTGTGGATATATAAACAAATTTGCTAGGGAAATTCAGAGCTAGTATGAAAATGAAAAAACGAATTTCTTCAAGACTTTGTCTGCAAAGTTATCCCACACATGGCGCACTTAGAATTCAGTCCGAAATGAGGCGTTGGGTTGAAAGATGGCCGTCTAAATACCACCAAAGAAGACTTCATTGAGTAGAATGATTCAACCCATGACTAAGAATGAGGCCACATGGCAAGGGCAGACAAGACTTAAATACCACCAAAGAAGTTACCTCTATGAGTTGTAGAGTAATGCTGACCTTGCTCCATAATTCCTGCATCTGTCTTACTTGCAACAGACTGCTGCGGCAAATTGTTGTAGATCCTCTTGTAATGGTTGTAGACAGCAACAGACAATACTTTCTTGGCATATTCTTGTCCCACAACATGCTTATTCAAGTAATCAAAAATCTGGGAGGGAGAGAGCCAAGGAGGTTAATGGTGTGTTATATGGATCAGATACATGCATTAAAAAATATATCATGACCCTGCATGTTCATATTCTTCAGGTGTTTTATTTTACAACTGTCATGAATGGAGCTCATGCAGGCGGCAGAGATTCGTGGTTTAAATACTTCACTTCATGAAAAAATTTGCAAGAAACTCGATGCTACCACTGGTTTTCTCTGAAATGAACCTTCAAGTGACAACCATGACATGAAATACTCAAAATAATAAAATGCACTGGAAAAACGAGGCAAGAAGATATGAATCAGCAAAAAAACCACAAAGTTTCTTTGGGGAGATGTTATTTGTTAAAATTTTACAAAATACATCATTAAGAATCACTTGAGACTCCCTCAAAAGGAGTACTATAAAACTGGCAGAAGATCATCCGGTCGGCTCAAGGTCGCCCTTCGTACTCTAACATATTTTAATTATTATCTGGCATTTTTGAAAACCAGATCAGCCAAGGTTCCACTAAATCTTTAGTTCTTGTTCCATAATATTGGACAGTTGATACGACAAAATGATTTTTAGTAAAAATCTAAATTGCAGTACCTTTTTGGGAGGTGGAGGCGGTTTCCTGGTGCTTTTGTGCTCTTCCCTGGTTTGATCTTTCATTGACTTTTTTGTATCTAGCTCGGAGAGAACTACAAAAAAGTGATGACATTTTTCACACTTCACAAACCTAGTGGATGCTGAAAACAAGAGAAGCATATGGTGTTATTTTGATTGATCAAGTCAATTAATATTTTAAGTGCCTTAAATGCTTCATTAAGTTTTAAGTTGTTATATTTGTAATTATGAATACTCAAGGTATGGTCCGTAAAACACCTTAAAAAATTCAAGTAATAATTTTCATAGACAAAAAGGAATGGCATGTCTCAAATTGTGAAAATACAAACATCAGGACAGTTTTACTGAATTCCAACTTTTTAAATTGGTTAGTACTTATCGATTTCGATCAGTACTGAGCCTTGACCACACACACTCTCTCTCTCTGTCTGAATATCAGTACATCATGCTCGAGGATTTACGGCTGAATCTAGTAATTTTCCATCCGTATTTTGAGGCTCACAAATATTGAAAAATTAGTGCGTCATCTGAGTCACTAGCTGCTTGTAGAAATAATGTGATTTAGTGGTCTATCAACATTTGGTAAGACCATAAATATTGATGAAGAGCCTGTGCAGGATTTAGGTGCACATCTTATACTCTGTCGATTCACTTTTTCTTGATGGCCACAGAGATAGTGCAAACTAAGCTATGATCAGGACAAGCCATTTAAAAAACAACAGAAAAATGAATCAATAGCAGAGTAACAAGTTTTACCAAAGAAGCGACAGAATCACCGGATTCATCCCTTAAAGTTTATTTTCAGCAGATGCTATTGCATTATTACTGTTAGAGATTATAGGGAATAAAATTGAGTTTCCGCCCTTCTCCAAAGTCAAAACGAGAAGAAGATCCTTTTAGGAGCCTTCCTAGTTGCTATACTTTTAGGAGGCATCGAAGCTCTTTATTTTTTCATATCTCCACCCCTTGGGATACAAGAGAGGAGAAAATTTGAGATCACGAGTCATGTTAGAAAAAGTAGGGGTTGGTCAGGAAAGTCTCAACTCCCTTTAAATATTTGCAAGCACAGTTATGCAAAGAAGGATGGTGAGCCTGAGAAATTCTCTGTACTTAATTTGGCAAGGAAACTTTGCTACCTATGTTGTGCATGAAAGTTAGGTAACTGTGAAAATCTTACAATTTTGCAGAAGATTTTGCAATTTCTTAATCTATCAGTAAAATTTTGAAATCCAACATATTTTCTAGGGGAAGTGTTTTTAGCCATACTGAAATGTATTTCAGAACTGTTATTAAAAATTAGAGAGCTCTCTAAGGAAAACTTGGAGCCTGTTAAATTAACTTTGGAGATTTTGTTTCCCAAGAAGGAACTTTAGGGCTCCTTGCACTTTTAGAGCTCATTGAAATGTTTGTTACATTTCAGTCAGCGCATATTATTTGCAAAGTTAGACAGCACTGAAATGTTGGTCGATTTTTAGTCAGAACTAACATTTTACCTGTATGCAATAATGCTTCGAGATGAGGGAAAGTTTGGAGAGCAAATTCTAGGATCCTGAGTGAGTTAAGAGCGAAAATTCTTCAGTACCCTTGCTTACAAATCATCTAATCATTAGTTTGAATTCGAGTTAAATTGAACAGGTTGACTCCACAGAAAGAGAATATTTTTTTCTAAAAGATATTAATTATCAAACTGAAAGCTAGAAATACCTAAAATGAGGGCACAAGTTGTCATCTCCCGTACAATGAAACATACCTTTTCCTCACCATTTCAGTGTTTCTATAAAGGTTTTAATATTTCATGAGAGAAAAGTTAGATAAATCAGTCTAAAAATTTCAGAGTCTTACCTCTGAAAAAGGACTGAAAAAATGCAATTTCCGACTCTCTGTGTAACTAAAGATCATGAGCTTAGCCAATTATTTACTGTATTTATAAAATATGATCATTTAGTTGGAGGGAAAAAACATGAAAACCATGTTCCATTTTTGCCCAAAAAACCTGTTTCTGTCAAGTTGGCAAGCTTGTGTTGGACCAATGTTCAAGTATTTTTGAGTATCTGCTTGAATGATGCCTGTTAAAACTTAAAATTGCAGCATCATTGAAAACCATTAAGATGCGGAAACAAGCCTGTTCTGATGATTAGTAGCAATGGAGAGAAATGATTTTAATTAGGACTCACAAACAAAAGTTTCAACATGAGTGCAAGGATCTCCACATTTTGGACAGGACAATTGTGATCCACCATCTTTTCCTTTTCCAGAGGAGCCAGCAGAGGTGTTGGGAGGTTTTTTACCACCATTACCTGCATTTCCAGTTGGCGGATTGTTACCTCCATTATCGGGCCCAGAAGGAGCAGCAGATCCTTTCACAACTTTCAAGGAAGCTGATGTTAACTTGCGAGTGGGGTACACTGCAGGAATTTGGTTACTGTACTGTTCATAGCGCAAGGAACAACCAATCAGACCTGTAAAAAAATAAGTCAAGGATTATCTTGTAACCATCTAGAATAAAACCATCATTTTGATGATTTAGTAATGAGTCTGAATGATTTTAAAGGAACATTACTTCACACTGTGTTTGAAACTTCAGACTTCGTTTCATGGAATTGTTGAGAGATAACAAGGAGGCATGGACTTTACCTTAGTAAATATTTGCTTCAGTTCCACAACTAGCTGGTCAGACTAAACTTGTTTACTTTTACTACCTCTCAAATTGTCATTGAGTCTAGCAAAAGAGCCCATAAGGTGGAGGAAAAATAAACTGAGATGACTAACTTCAACCCAGACGGATTCCTTTTGCAAACGGTTGTAGTTAGAAATTTTGACCCATTATTCTTGAAAACGGAAAGCGTTTTCAATCAAAAACTGAGAATCAATACATTTAATGCATCCTCGGTTTTTTCACTGTACTGAGAAATTTGAGTTTTCACTTTACGGGCCCTTTCACTTGGCTCCAATTTGTTCAGTATGTACTCTAGATAAGTAAGTAAATCAATATCTGTGGTTGCAATGGACCACTAGACAAGGTACGAATTTAAGCGATCTGATACATGTTAATTAACCAGAATTTCACGTAGAAAACGATTCACACAACGAAAATTACGGAAACCAACTCCTAACGAAGATATTAACGTTTTTATTTCACATTGGTTACGAGGAATTTGAACTGCCCGCTCACAAGAAACTCAAAACTCTACGTGAGTCAAATCGCCCACTACAACGGTTTCAGCAAGCTTCTCAATCGAGCAATGTTCATTTTCCATCATGTGTTGTTCAAACTATTAGCAATTTGCTATAACTGAGCCAAAGCGTCAAGATTGAGGTTGCTAGATTTTTATATCGCAGAGACTGTCATGATAACGTTTAGCGCGCGATGTGAATCACGTAGACCATTGAGTTTTCATGAGCGGGTGGTTTGAATTCACGCATTAAGAATCATTAAATATCTTCGTAAGGAGTTAATTTCGGTAATTTTTGTTGTGCGTATCGTATTTTACGTAAAATTTTGGTTAAGAAACATGTATCAGAATGCTGAAATTCGTACCTTATCTAGTGGTCCATTGATGTTTTAGGCCAAATAACGAGAGCTACGTCATCCTCTCTACTGAGGCATGATGCTATTCTGTATACAACAGGAGAGATAATTTTGAATACTTCTTCTAACAGAAAATTAACGCCATGGTTGCAGGGTTAGGTAAGTTTCCTGCCATTATTGGAAAGTAAAAAGTTTGATTTTCCGTGCATGGTCACTGAAGCTAAGCTCCAACTGATGACAAAAAAATAAAAAACCGACACCCCTTCCAGATTATTGCAAGCATTAAATTAAAACAACATCTTCCTACCAGTTAATGCCTTACTGACAGCTTAGATGGAACGCACTCAATCAAAAATGACTCTAACACTTACTTTAGAATTTCATTTGAGTGAATTAGAATAAACATAAAAAATGAAAGGATTAACTTGTCGATAATTTTTGATGAAAGACACTTTCATCAGGCTTCAGCATTACACATCTAAACATACGGGGCGCTGGTGGATATATTAGGCTATAGGTATTCCAATATCATAGTTTGAGAAACGGTGATGATAAATTGAGTGAATGTTGATACAGGAAAGGTGCAGCTGTGTAATAGCCTCGGAGGTTCTACATTTCAAGCTAAGTCACCTTCATTATGAAGATGAGTGTAGTTTTCTGAAATGCTGAAGGCTACGAGTCATACTTAGTTTGAAGCGTTTGAAAATAGATCATGACAGATTGCATTAGAAAATCATAAAGATTCTCATTCATCTGTAAAATTTAGGGAAGTTGACACATTTTCATCATTTAGTTCAAGTTATCTCACCATTTTGGCGATAATGATTACTATGATTTGGGTTTTCCTGATACAGGTTCGTCGAGTTTGATTGGCCTCTCAATCTAGAACACTGCTGGCTCAGAGCACTGATTTAAAAAAAATGAAAAAAAGGAGAGGCTATTTTTGGGTTTTATATCAAAAGCTGATCATGAGATAGTTTTTATGGTGAATCAGAGCAATAAACATTACCTTGTTCAACTTTGTTTCTCCATGGTAAGGCAAATTTACCAGCAGAGGCGAGACCACATCTGACTGAACTCATAGCTAACCACTAGCTTCAGAGGGTAAAAGAACAAAAAAGAATCACTCATAGAAAAACAACCAATTGTATGGAACAAAAACACTTGATCACTGAGGCATAACAGCTAATTTCGGTCCTCAAAACTTATGACAACTCGATTACCTTAGGGTGCCACACACGGGAGGGATGAGGCGCCCAAAAGTGAGGCTCTGCTGCGCGCGCACGTCGCATGTTTGGATTGTAATTTCGCGGCAGATTCGAACCTAAGGGGCGAGTTCCATAATACATTCTTCTCAAATGCACAGTATTAAAGTAAAAAAAGTCCAGAGTTTTAATCACGATTACTTTAATTAAATTTAACCTCTCGTAAATCCATACGTAAAAAGGGTTTCCTTCTCCGTAAATTTTAACAGTTTTATAGTGAGTTTAGTGATTAAAATTTACAATTTTTAGGAGATTTTTTAAAGTTCTTACTACAAGGGAATGTCTTGGCGAAGATTCTTTACTTTAACTCGCTTGCTCTTGACTTTCACATGGATGAAGCTAGCAGAACTTTTCGTGGAAGGGAGGGGGAGGATACGCTCCCAGGTCGCTCCCTCAAAAAAAGAAGAAAAACCGCAACAATGATGCTGTGGGATGTTTCTTTTGTGGGGGGGGGGGGGGGGAAGCCTCTCGAGAAGGACTGGGCAGTGGGCTCCTCTGATGCCAGCTTTGCTCTCTCTCTCTGATATTTTGGTACCCTGCTACGAAATTTCTTTTCCATTTTACTGTTAGCCTTTCATCCTTACTGCTACACGAATTGTTAATTTGAGAGAATAAGATTGAAGGAAATTCATTTGTGAGCTGTCTGGAAAAGAGAATTGGACGTATTTATGCTACAAGGAAATATGTGCAAATGAGTGAAAGCAAAAAGATTAGTGTAGCTTGTGAGCCCTATGCACATAGATCCTCTTGATTCGATTTATTTTCGCATAATTCTTCTCAGCATAAATACGTTCAATTTTACTTTAGCACTTTCTCGTCTCTTTTCTAAATCCTTAAGCTTCAAAAATCTCAAACAATATTTCCTCGATAAAAGCAATAGGTACCTGCACCCGCTATAATTATGATTATAGGCATAAGTCTATTGCTATAGCGTACCTACATTTAGAAACACATAGGTACCTACCTCAATTACTAAGTTTAATAAATGTATGTGTCTCCTGAGTATCTTTGCAGAAAAACGTCTGAAATTTTTACAGGATATTCTTTCTGTCTTGAAGAGAAATCAACGGAAATTAAAAGAGAAAACTGGGATCATTTCTCCTTAGAAAAAATAAACATGTTGGAAAATGACTAACGTCTTGAATCCAAAATGCATGTTTTTGGACTTAGGCCATCAGTGTGCTCAAGAAGCAGTATTCTGATTAAGTGATGATTAAAGTATTAATGGCAATATTTGTTGAATTCGTAATTTGTATGAATTATTACATTTTGAATTTTGCTTTTCTTTTGAATTTCTTTTGAAAAATCTTTTTGCTTTCACTCATTTGCACATATTTCCTTGTAGCATAAATACGTCCAATTCTCTTTTCCAGACAGCTCACAAATGAATTTCCTTCAATCTTATTCTCTCAAATTAACAATTCGTGTAGCAGTAAGGATGAAAGGCTAACAGTAAAATGGAAAAGAAATTTCGTAGCAGGGTACCAAAATATCAGAGAGAGAGAGCAAAGCTGGCATCAGAGGAGCCCACTGCCCAGTCCTTCTCGAGAGGCTCCCCCCCCCCCCCAAAAGAAACATCCCACAGCATCATTGTTGCGGTTTTTCTTCTTTTTTTGAGGGAGCGACCTGGGAGCGTATCCTCCCCCTCCCTTCCACGAAAAGTTCTGCTAGCTTCATCCATGTGAAAGTCAAGAGCAAGCGAGTTAAAGTAAAGAATCTTCGCCAAGACATTCCCTTGTAGTAAGAACTTTAAAAAATCTCCTAAAAATTGTAAATTTTAATCACTAAACTCACTATAAAACTGTTAAAATTTACGGAGAAGGAAACCCTTTTTACGTATGGATTTACGAGAGGTTAAATTTAATTAAAGTAATCGTGATTAAAACTCTGGACTTTTTTTACTTTAATACTGTGCATTTGAGAAGAATGTATTATGGAACTCGCCCCTTAGGTTCGAATCTGCCGCGAAATTACAATCCAAACATGCGACGTGCGCGCGCAGCAGAGCCTCACTTTTGGGCGCCTCATCCCTCCCGTGTGTGGCACCCGATTACCTTACAGCACTAGGTTATGAACACCTAAGTAATGAAAACAATGAGAGTGGGTCAAGGGTACGAAACAAAAAGCTGTATAGTGAAAACCATAAACTAGAGGAGTTTTTGAATGAAAAAGTTCCCGACACTTGTAAATTTAAGAGGATGAAGTTCTGAATCAAAATGAGAAGAAAGGGCAAAATAAAGACACCCGAAGTGATAAAATAAGGAAGCTGGCGCACGAACGATAACAAATCAAGAACGAATTGGGGAAAACATCAGCTGATTGGTGAAATCATTCTTGGAGCACCAATCACACTCGTTCTTTACAATTGTTCAAGCCTTTGAATTTCTTGGTGTTCCTCATCCTCATAACTCCTGCGAAAAATGTATTTATGCAATACGCTGTGCTTCCTCTTACGTAGCTAATTTCGTATTTCGATCATTCTGGGCTATTATTACATCATATAAAAAGTTGCGCATTACTTTATCATTTTGATAGGTCAAATTTTTGGACTCTATTACTTTTCTTAGTTTAATCTAAGAATACTTGACCAATTTTTGTTTTTGTTTGCTGTGGCGTGAAAACGCGCATTAGGGCGGTGGAGAAAGCAACATTTCTGGAGCCCCTCTTTTAGTAAAAGCGCACTTACACTTAGGTCCTTTCATGTCATAGAGTACAGGTTTCATGTACTCTATGTTTCATGTGTGAGGCAAGAAGATCCGCTAGCATAGTCATTAATCATTTGATAACAGGATCCTAGGTTCTAAGATGTTTATCGTCTCTTGCTGCATCCGGAAAAGCTGACATACGAATACGAAACAATGGGCATCGTGCCCCCCCCCCCTCTCCCCTTTCATCTATCATGGAGGATGCGATGCACTATCTACGGGAGTAGGCCGTTCATACATTATAAAAAGGATAAACTCAGAGTGGACCCATTACGAACTTGCATTCCGCATTACTTGATAAGTTGGTGAAAAGTAAAAAAAAATAAATAAATAAAAAAACTGCGTAGTGGTAGCAAAGTGGTAGGCAGAAATCCAAAATGAAATGCCACGGGTTGAATTTTCACGTGGAGCAGAAAATTTCACAAAATTACATGAAATTTCAGGTCTCAGAGTCTGCTCATGAAATTTTGCATCTTCGGGGGGGGGGGGGGGGGAACCCACAAGGTCAAAACTTTCTGGGGGGCGCCAGCCTTTTGAGGAGGGCCCTCCTACTACCCCTTCTTGTAAGTACTCGGAGAAGTTACGCCCATGCACACCATGCAATAATTTTTTTAAACAAAAAAAAAATTAATAACTCAACAAAAATGAATTTACAAAGAATGAGGAAAGTACACCCTAAGTTCCCGCAACGCGTTTTACTTTTTTTTATCACATCTTCATTCATGAACACCTTTCAAGTAAAAATCTTGAGCACTGTTAAAATACATAGGACTTATTTAGGTAAAAACTTTCAATACATAGGACTTATTTAGGTAAAAACTTTCAAACTCGTCGTAAAAATTCTCAGCCTCACATTTTCCTAGTTTTTTTTTACGAATCGCACCTAATCGAGTCTTTTTAAAAAGCCCCCCCCCCCCGCCCTTTAGCTGCTCCTACCCATCCCTACCGCACTCTGTCCCTTGCCTCTTGGACCCAATATTTTCAGCTAAAAATTCTCCCACTATTTATAATTAAACTCATTGTGAAGTTCACTCAGTTTAGCGACAAAATCTGATTCTAATTATATGGAACTCATTCTAAAATAAGAAAATAAGAGTCGGAATCACAACTAAAAATTCGGGTTTTGAATACTGTTTGTAATGGAATCTAATTCAAATGTTGGCGGGCTCCGAGAGGGGAAGGGGCGAGAGAGGGTTTGTTTTTGTCTTTTATCAGCTCCATCACTTCAATCAGTATCAGCAGCTTTTGATAGTTTCAGTCAGCTTCAGCTTCAGCCCTCCGGTGGAATGGAACTTTTTGTCCCAATTTGTATGGTAACATAGTAACTTTTTACTTTGTTGACTTCTGTACGGTTTTCGTGGTTGATTTGGTTCGAAATAAAATTGTGATTTGTTGTAACGCGATTGGTTCGTGATTGACGCGGCTGAGGGTTCTCCATGGGTTCTCCAAACTGTCTCTAAACATACTTACGTTCGTATCTCTTTTTTTAAAAGCTGGAATCGTGTTTTGAGTCTATGTCGTTCTAACATGAAGTTTCTGTCAATTCTTTTCATCTCTTTCTGCTATGGCTCTACAAGTGACCTGGAGGCTTTTGATGACACCATCCTTTTCAAAATCAACTGGCCTAGAGGAGATGAAAAATTACTGGTAAGTGATTTTGTGTTTCTAGAATATTTGATACGAACATGATATGTATCTCACATCGACCCTTATGAAGTGAAAGGTTCAAAGTCGCAGATAATCGTTACTTACTGCGTTCCAAATCGTGACGGAAAATCAATGTCGACACTTTGGACGTACTTATGTATGATTTTTGTTTAGGTTATTTTTGTATCAACGAGGGTCAATCACCAGTATGAAACTGAAAAAAGTAAGTTTGGTGTAATTAGAAATGATCTCCATGGTCATTTCTACTTACCAGGGAAGAAGCAAAGTTGCCTCTTGATAGCTGATGTTTCCCTCACTCTTCGGCAGTCAGTGCAGGCGAAAAAGATGGAGACGCTAGTTCTCATAAAAATGGCTCATGGTATATTTTCACAAACATCAATAATTTGTTCAAAAGGTCTCTGCAGGTCTGAAACCAAAAAATAAACAATCGTACTACCAGGAGCAGTGCTACAACTTCACAGAGTGCCACATGGCACTCCGCTAATGGCCATATCCGCAGGCAGACATCATGAGCCAAAAACAGGTTTCTGCACTGAAAGTACTGAAACAGCAAAATTTGAAAATTTCAAGTGAGCAATGAGTCAGGCAGCCTTTAAGTATGTTTTTTTCTAAAAACCAAACCAAACTCAGCATAAACCATTTTTGCAACTCTGATTTGACAATCAAAGAAAATCCTGAGTTATTCCTAATTACAGTTACAGCCTGTTTCCATTAAAAATAGTTTTTTCATAGCATTAGTTCAAATGTATCCAATGTTAAAACAGGGCATTCTACGCTGAAAATAGCTGAACGTGTTGAGTTCAGCTGCTAATCAAGAACTCTAATCCATCTCTTTAAAGTTAAGATATGTTCTTTAGTGACATACTAAATGGATTAACGCTAAAAACAAATGCTGTTTGAAATCATTATCAAGTTTACCTCTATTTTTACAAAGTCTTGCCTGTTTCATTACAGAATCTGGAAGAAGAAAACCGAGAGGTGCTCCCTATATCTACCAAACTCAATGAAGCGTATCAATGTGTTCTGCCAAATATCAAAGAGAAAGATGCTGTAAGTATTCTCGCAACTTTTCAGCTTGAGGCATAGTAAATTTTTGAGGCCTATTCTTATTGCATTTCACTTCCATCCTGCTCATATCATCTCTCCTTTCTCTCTCAAACTCATGAAGTTGAATTATGAGGTTCGGTGGAAGAATACAGTTCCTTGCATCATAACTTCAGAGCAATAAGAGATACACCAGAGTGGGTAAAAGATAAATTTTAGGTATCCTCTCAGCATCAATAGATAAAAAATATTTCTCAAGTCGGTCAAGAAGTCTCCAAGAATCCTAAATTTTACTGAGACCACCTATTGTTGCAGCGTTCCTCTTCTTAGGTGGATTATAAGAAAGTTCCTTAATTTTTCCCTCAAAAGCTATGGTTGCCTGGAGCAAAAGTGTTATGAATATCTTAATCCTCTTTTTCGAGTTTCGACCCATGGGTTTAATATTTTGAATCAACTGGTATCGGAGCAAATAGGTTTTTCTGTGAATTTCTTTTTCGCAACGTTGTTTCATTTTCGGACATGAACTCTCTAAACTCTCGTGTTTGAATTGGATAGAAATGATGGAATTGAACATAGGAATATATATCTATCATGCCTTTCCATTGATTTTAACGGTTTCTTATCTTCTCTGTTGCAGAACTCACAAGAAGTGTACAATGGGCCTAATCCTCTAGATCTTTTGTCACCCTTATTCACACAGACTGGCTGCTCTTATCGGGTAGGTTAAAAACATATCACGAAATTAGAGCATAAGGGACTTACTGTGAAAATTACTGAAAACAAGATGAATACCTAGCGGTGTAAAGGTAGATTATGCTGTATCTTCTGGCAGACAAAAAACCACTCAAATGTTGACTATGAGAGTCAACATTAAGGAATTGCAAATTTGAGATAAACGCAGTTAAAGTTTTCTAAGAAATTCATTGAGTATTTCAGAAATGCCTGCCTCAGCACCAATAGAAAGGAATAAGCGGTCAATTTTTCATAAAATTGTTCATTGAACTTAAATATCTACACCTGAACTTACTGTACACATTACCTTTACCAATTTTTACTATATGTATTTTTAAAAAAAGGATCTCAGTTCACAGTCATTTCTTACAAGAAAAACTAATAACTAATACAGCTTAGTTGTTGAATCCACCAAAGTGGAGCCACTGTTATCAATGACCCTAGACTTGGTCCAATAAATCTTTTATCACACTGTTTTTAATAAACATCATAAAATGAAATTTTTACTTAATGGTTTTTAAGGTAGTAGAGTCCAGAGTCTAGTATGAAAAATAGAAAATCAAAACGTTGACGTTTGTCAAAAACAAGTTAGTTGTTCTCATGTCCGGGAAAATCTATAGTACCTTTAGTTCTGGCTTAGTCCTATATCAAAGGCTTGGTTTCTTTTATTAAGTATTTGTTTATGTAGTCGGGGCTCCTTATTATTTCTAAAAGTGATAGAGTGAGAATAAACTATCAATTTAAGATCAAACTTGCCTTGGGGACAAGTAATTTGCCATGCAGGAATGCAGAAATGAACCAAATTTCAAAATCATCTCTTGATCATGAACAGGTGTAACAAAAAGAATTAGAGCCTATTGATTCATTGCATCAGACTGTGTAACAGAAGGAGAACAATTTTATTGTGGCAACTAGCTCAATTATTTATTTTCCTGATCTTGCAACTGATCCATGTCCTCTCTGATTGATACCGTTAAAATGAAAAGCCCATCATTATTCAACTCTCTTTTTTATTCAATATTTTTTTTTTTAGTTTTTGGAAGACTCTTTTTAATTTAATTCTTTTTTCTTAACCTCTAGCTCGATAGTTATTGGACCTATGAATTGTGTCATGGCAAATTCTTGCGACAATACCATGAAGATAGGGATGGCAAGCAGATAAAACTTCAAGAATACTTCCTTGGTCGATGGACAAAGGTTCAAATGGAAAAACTCAGTAAGTTAATTTCCTTTTAGTACATGTGAACTGCCGACCATCTTCTTGTCCTATCTCTGCAAGAGTACCCCAAGGGAGGGGTATCGCTGAGGACTGCTTTTGGGCCTACCTTGAATTTCTTCAACTCAACGATTTTTTGCTTTTTGAAAGTCTATACTTTATGGAGTGCATCATGATGTGGTCTTTTTTGGTCTCTTTTCAGGACTTATACTAGCCCAAACAAGAGTCTGCAGGCCGATTTTTGCCGAAAATGTGGGTTTGAGGTCGACGGCGAAAACTCCGCTCGTTTTGCCAAAATTAGCCTCTAGGCTTTGTTTAGGCCCTTATCAGACGTGGAAAGAGACGGAAAATGACCAAAGCATGATGCTTTTTGTAAAATGTGAACCTTCAATGAGCGAAACATTGCAGAGTCGAGGTTGTTCAGCTAGGGTGGGCCCATGAACGGCCCTTATGGATACCCCTCCTTTGCAGTAAGTTTTATTTGCAATGTAAGTAAAGATGAAGGATTGAAAATACAAGAAAAAAAATTGTTACATCATTGAGTTACGTGTAAATACTTTTTTCAAGAGTGTTCAAAGAGGTAGATATTAACCGCTTAAGTAAAGAAAGCATCACCTCAACATCGGATGTGATAATCTCATAGCACTGCACTTAAATTTTGGGCCCTTACCTCCTCCATGGATCATTCACTCAACTGTAGATGGAGAGGTGCTGTTAGGAATTTTATTAGAGTAACCGATCGCAAGGGAATAAATGGTGGCTAACAGTTTGCCAAAAAGGAACCAGGAGGTAGGGCATACTTGAACCCAGTGTACTCTTTTGTTTCAAAAGGACGATTAATATGACCATTGTCCATTATAAAAGAAAATGCTGTTACTTTGAATTAGTTAAAAGAATTTTCATACGTATTATTTTGAATATCTTTCCTTCAGTATTATGTTGTCCATTATTATTGTCCATCTTTATTTTCCTCTTTCTCACAAAGGAGACCTAAATGTCTGAAAGTTCCTCTCTAATCCATCCCATTTTGCACCTTTATTCCCTGTCAGTTTCAAGTTCAGCCTAATTATCATTCGTTTCGTAAAACAGATGTACTTACTCGCTGCTATGCTTAATTTTTTTCCTTTATTATCCTTGTAAGTTTTCTAAATGACCTTTCTACTTTCAGGAATGGAATTGGATTCAAAGAAAGATATTCCTCCATCTCGTTTTAAAAAAATTGAAGGAATAAATTTACCTTACTTAGAAATGAACATGACCGATGGAACTATGTGTGATTTGACTGGCCGGCCAAGGCATACAAGTGTTTTGTATGTCTGTTACAACCATGGGAAACATGACTTTTACTCTTTGAAGGAAGTGTCAAGTTGTCATTATGAAGTCATTATTATATCCTCTTTACTTTGCCTTCACCCACACTACAAGTAAGCCCTCTTTTATTTTTGGAATTTTCCACCAGCACTGTAATCAAAATTTTGTGAAACCCATTATGGTAGAATATTCGGGTGAATTGTAGCATTGCTGTTTTTATCAAAGCTTTCCTTCAATCATGCAACAGAGTTCAGATATTCTATCTTATTATTTGTTTGACTGTCTCAAGGGAATAATTTCAATCTCATTTTTATCATTTTAAGTGGTAAACTCAAAATTTGCAAAATCAGAAGGGTAAGAAGACTTCCATGATGGACAAGCAAGATTCTACTTCTACATAAGATCAAAAAATCAGTATTCTTTCTTTTACTATTTTACATCTACGTCAACTGTAACTATAGTGCTCTTTCTAACAACGTTTTTTCAGGCCAAAAGAAACGGGGGAAAATTCAATTGACTGCATACCTAAAGATCCTGCAGGGAAGAAGCCGTTGCGGCTACTGCAGTTAGAAGCTGAGAGTCTCATGTTGCGTCATAAAAATTTACTGGTAAGATGAGTATCAGTCTTCTCTTATTTGTCTTTTGTCTTTTAGGTCTTTGTGCAGTCTGAGATACTTAATTCATGTCGAAATATACTTGTTTAGTGCAGCTCTTTCATCATTTCATCATGATGAAGATATAAGTCTCTTCAAATTTTTTGAGATGATGCGTACAGGCTTTGGGACCCTTCCCAAAAATTTTGGGGTCTATTTTTGGGTTTTGGGGAAAAACTTATGATACGTTTTGGGCCCGGATCCAGGAAATTCCTCTGAACCCTGTCTAGATCCTGTAGTTCCTGGTCGAAAAGTGAATTAGCATCTTACCTAAAATTTGCTGAGAGTGATACAGCAATGACTTTGCAGCAGCAAAATTTTCTTCACAAAATGATCATTGGGTCTCAGACTGTTTGGGCTTCAGATGAATTTCAGCTCAGAAGACAAACGCTCAACAGATGCTTGAATGCAGATAACTGCGTTCAGGATACAAGCGAGTTTGCAGTTTTTGATTGATGCTTTTCCCTTGTTGCTAATAATTTAAACTTTCCTCCACTGGAAGAATCCTAGGTGTTAATGTGTTGACTCACAAAATTTTATCATAAACTGCGAAGATTTACTTCATTTTGGGTATTTCTTATCTTTCTTATTTTGCGATTGAATATTTTTAAAGCATTAATTATCTATTCAGATTCTGAACCAATGGTTGTTTTTAATGCTGCACTTCAGAGTTCTTACCTGAAAAGAGTTCTTAACTCTTGACTCTATTTGGATTGGTCCAGCCGGGGCTCCTAATGAGGGAAAAAAGGGATGCGGTGGAGGGCCAAAAGGCAAACAGATAATAAGGTTCAAGTCTGGATCCAGTCAGAAACGGAGGCTGGAACAGGGTTTATGCTTTGGGTTCAAGACCGTCCCAAATTTCAAGAAGCGTACAATGAACATTCTATAATTGAAAAAGTTTTCTATCTTTCATGAGCCCATAATTAGTTTTTACTTGTCTTAACTTCTTTGTCGCACAGATTTAGGTTTCATGTAGGTAATTGGGAGCATTCTCTGTTTTTAATTTTCCCATTCTTTTCTTACATGAGCTCAATGACTAAAGAATTAGCGACCAGCTTCTGCATTTTTCACCTTTATTTTCCACCGTTTTTATTTCTCATAAAGTGATGATCATCTGCACATAATAGCTGTGATTGTAAAGTAATAGCTAGTTATGTTAGCAAGTAGGAGTGGAAAGTTAAGGCATGTTGAACTTTTGTGTATGTTACCTGTTTGTTTACTTTAGTACCTTAATTTTCCCCTTTTTCTATAATTTTTTTTTAATACCTAGCCTGAGATTCTACACATCTTTATCAAATTTTTAAGTTTTATTTTAAAATTGTAACAGGATGATGATTTTACGCCTTCTCAGAAGATTTATACTGTTGTCTCCGTGCTTGATAACGAGGGAGGTGGCCAGGTCTGTAAACTTCTCCTTTACTTTAACAATAAAAAAAGTAATCAGTATATATGATATGTACATAAAATAAAGCTCCTGCTTGAGGTTGAGAATTAAAATTTATGGGTGTAATAACGCATAAAATTTGCTTAGAACCTAACTTTGCCCTGGGTACATTTAAAATGCATTTTCCAGCTCCAGAAGTTTTCTCAGATGGAGCTTTAAAATCTATCTGCTGACAGAAACTACATATTTTTAAATAACTTTACTCTTTATTATCTTCACATAAGAGCAAGTTGCCAACGACAGACAGGTATTGCACTGTTTTTACTGAAAGTATGACTAAGAAGAAACTTTTTGCAGTTTGTAATTTTTCCAGCAGTTTTGTAGTCACAGTAAAAAGATACCTACCTTTGAGGTAACCCTCTTAGCTATTTTCCTATTACATCAGAATTAACAGGCAGGAAGAAAAAGCAAACCAAAACTTGATTTAAGGTCCCTATTTGAAGAGATGGTCAGTCAAATGAATTGTAGTATTTTTGGGTACCACGGAGAATAATTCTTATCCTAACTTCCTCTGCTAGCTTCTTTGGCTCATTTCCTTTTCCATTTTTTTGTACTCATGCATCCATGCTTCTGTTATTTTCTTTTTCTTTGTGCTTCCCTCCGTTAATTATGCCCTGTCTTGTATATGTTTAAGTGCATCGTTTGTGAATTTTGCCTTTTCGTTTTTTTTTTTTAAAAAAAATTATGAGTTGGATCTAATTTTGCTGTCCATGGATTAAAACTAAGTGAATTCTAGTGTATTTTACAGAAATTCTGTAGTTTTCTTTTTAAGATCGATCAATTTTCAAGCTTCTTGAGAGCAACTACTGGATGATGTGGTTTACTAAGTCACTTTAGTGGGTGGTATAGTCTTGTCCAGTTTTTTTAAGGAGAGAGGTGAAGTTAGAAAAGGAGTAATCAGTATCAGAGAGGAAGCTCAAAAATTGTAGTTAGCTTTGTTAGCTTTTTGTCGTACAACTTTTGATATCTGAACTCCAATTCAAATCTGCACTCTCCCCTGAAAATTTCGAAGTTAGGAGTATGATCACGTCTTACTCAGATGCTTCTTTTTCCTGGTTTCTCTGCTATAATGATTATGTTTCATTCAATAAACGTCTAGTTGTTGAAAATTCATTGATGATATTGCAGGAATCCTATGTATCCGACCACTGGAAGCCTCCTCTATCTTTTCAAGACAAAAATATCGACAGTGAGACTCTCAAACAGCGTATCTTGGTTTGCGAGTTGTGGACTTCCTGTCATAATTCTTTTTAAAATGAAGAGTTACTCCACGTCAATTCTAAAAAACTTCTCTGATTTTTCCTCTCTGTGTGAAGCCAATTTTTAAAAAGAACTTCAAGGACTGTTGTTAATTTTTTCTCGTTTATAATAATAAAATAGGAGCAGAAATTATTGAACGCTGCAAATGAAGTACGTGGTTTGGGAGTTTCTCTGTCGATGTATGGATTGTAACTGCAAGCCATGAATGAGTTTCAGTTAGAACAGAGGCCATTTCATTTGAATGCATTATTTGTTATAAATTAAATTATTAATATGTTTTTCTTGTATTGATGCATCCCAGGATGATGAGCCCTCCTTGTTAATTCAAATAAGACCGATGCCACAAAGTACACCCCAACAAATTCAAAGCCAGCCGACCTCAGAAGGAAATAAACTCTCCAAGCCTGTTATGGAGTCTGGTTTCACACCCATTGTCACTGGACCCTCTTTGGACCCCCTTGTGGCCTTTTTAAATGGCATAAATTGCCTCCAGGGTGTAAGTGCTTTAAATTCACCAACTTCTTTCTATTTTTATATCATGATTTTAGTTTCCTTGTAATAATTGCTCTAAGAATTTTTTCCCAAGGCTAGTCAACCCTAGTGCAAAGTTCCGTACATCTATACTGCACATAAGATTCTTTGAAATCTGTTGTTTTCTTTCTTTCCTTTTTTTCTTTTTAATGCTACTTACTTTTTTTTCACTCAGCGCAGAAAGCTTCTGCTCATTTTTGGGGCATTTTTTTGATAGAGTCGTAGTTGATTTGGTTGCTCAGTAACCACTATCAGCTAATCGTGATAAACCTTTTTTCTTGCTTCATAAGATCTAAATTAGAGGACTGTTAACTAAGTGTAAGTTAGTGATCATCAATAATGTCAGTGGCCAAGTTATCAATGACAGCATATGAGGCCTTATATGTAACAATGGCGGATGCAAAAAATTACCTTTTCGAAACATGCTTAAAAAACTGTTTTGGTCACACAAAAATTTAATATGTTTGCCTCTGGCATCATGTACAGATCTCGAAGATCACATCTCAAGTATTTTCTCAAACTTTTCTCGATGCCGAAGCAGTTTTTTGAACGTGTTTCGAAAAGGTAATCTTGCACATCCGCCATGGCGTCATTGTTACATATAAGTCCGCATATATGAACCTACCAGAAAAATAATTTTAAGAGTTGGAAACGATCACACTGTGTTTTAATTAAAAATTCAGTTCTATGTTAAGTTAGTAAGCCGGTGTAGCCACAGTTAAAGGAAACTTGCTTGTTTCCTTTAATTTTTTTTAATTATATAATTATTCATATCTTAATTGTCTTTGTGTTTTCATCTGCAAAATGTCTTTTTGAACCTTGTTTTGATAAGCTTAATTTGTGATTTCTCAAGGGTTCTGGTTGGTGGAAGTTTGAATTCTGTTACATGGAACGTGCAGATCAATATCATATTGACTCCGTTGATGGTAGTAGAACCACTGTCAGGTAAGAAAATGAAACCTTGTATTTTTGTAAAGTATCTTTTCTGCGTTCTTAATTATTTATTAAGTATCTTTTTTTACTTCAAGAACTCCTGATATCATTTGACTTTTTATTAAGTGTAGGATTTTTTTGTTTTGTTTTCTTTCTTCAAATACCCCTGAGCGAGTAATAAATGCTTACAGTTAGTATCTCATCTCCTTTCAGTCCCTAATCAAGCTAGCCCCAGGTAATCCTTTGTTAAGACCATCAAAGTCGGGTTGCCTGGCCAGGATTCGAACCCTGGACCTCCCAATTCTAGAGAAAGGATAAGTAGGAGAAAAAGTGTGAGACCTGGCATAGTGAAAGAAGCCAAGGCCCAAGAGGGGCTGTAGTGCCGATTAGTAAGTAGTAAGTATTCTGTAAGACCTCTCAATTATGATAAGCATAAAAAATTTCACTTTTTGAACTAACTTTTTAGGGTTTTAGATCAAATATTTTTGGTATAAAGTGCACCATCTGAACTTCCATTCAACAAGATGAAACCAAAAATTGCAGTTACATACCTTGGAGGGTGGAAGGGCCAAATAGGGGAGGTCAAATCTTGTCCATCCAATAACTTGAGTAGATTTTATTTTAGGCAATTGAGCTGAAATCTTTATTGTATGCAGGAGTAATCTAGGGCTAGGCAAGTATTAATTTTGAGCGCAATTGACTCAGCCAATTAAGAACAGCGAGTTGTGAAAGTCTGGGGAAGGGGGGATCAAGTGACTTATTAAACGAACACCACCTTTCGGAAAAGTCACTCACTTCCCATGGTGGACGCGCAGAAGAGATTTGCATGGAGCCCCAAAGGAGGGTTCCTCCTTGTAAACTCGCACGAAACTTAATTTTTATTCTTATCAACAAGTAGTTAAGTAGATTAGTCCCTTAGCTCTTTTACAAAGGCGACGTCTGAGGGGAGGCATGCCCTTTTGAGTAGGACTTTGAAAAACCGCTCGTCTGCCGTTTCGAAGGTGAGAAGCAAAGCAAAAGAAGAAGAAAACCTCGTTTATTTTTTGCCCGGCCCTGCAATAACCTGCAATGACGCCCTTGCTCTTTTAATGGCTAACCTCCTCAGCAGATAATACTGAGCCTGTTGTTTTTAATTCTTAGAAATATTTAACCTCTATTCCATTTCATCTGTTTAGGTTAGGCACCTGGAACTTAAAAGACCATTTGGATTGGATTGAAAGAAATCCTCATAAGAAACCAAAGCCGATTGATTCTCGGACTTATGTTTCGCATTTTTATTCACAAGGAAGCATTTGTGAAAAAACTGGTCAACCAAGAGAAGTAGAGGTATGCATATTTTTCCCTCCTCTCAGTTCTGAATAATTACGAATTTGATTTTGAACTTTTTTTGCCTGCAATGCTCTTCTATTATTTTTCATTTTATCCATCTTTCTGCACACTTTGTTTTGATATGCTTCTTTCATTCTTCAGCGAATAATCATTTGAATGTCATGAAGCAGAAAGAATCTACTTTTCATGTTGTAAATAAAGACAAAGTAAAGGGAAATAGAGAAAAAATTTGCCATAGTTTAGAATTGGTAACACATGTTAGGTAGGCGATGCATATGGAATTGAAGGAAGGAGATGTTGAATGAAAGCACAATTGATCTGCTAAATTGCAAAGGAGAAACATTCCATCTAATCAAGTTCAGCATCTGTTAGTTGCTCAGTTTGTTGCAATGTTGTAGCTATGAATTACTCCAAACCTTAACCCAGCCTCCACAAGTTGTCTCTTCTTTTTCAAGTGGTCCGAATGTTGGGACCACAAGAAAAAGAATAGACTGATTAAGATGCTTGATCAAGGAAGCAAACCTAACCTGAACCAGCCTCCTTTAGACTAATTTTAACCTGCTCCCTGTTCATATGCTGTTTTTCTTGCCAAGCTAGAAACATGCGCAAGAAAATAGCAAAATTCATATGCTTCAAACTATAGTCTAAAGAACCAAAAAATAAATTTATCAAAACAGTCTAACCATTTTCCGATCATTCATTTGTATCAAGGTTAATGCACCAGCCTGGATTCTATAGGGTAAACTATTCTAGATCTACATGAAAGGAGGATGGGCTCACAATCAGTAATAACCATCTCTCCAGGGTTTTAGTGGGTCAAATAACTCAAAGTATTCCATAATTATAATTTTAGTTACTCCATACTCTTATATAGCCTTGTTGAATGAGACTCAAAGTTTAAGGATTGCAGTATGAGCAAATTCAATTTAGAAGGTCTTAAGAGGTTTAGACACTAACACCTTCCCCTGAAAGTGGGTTAAAGACAATTTTTTGCTGGTCCTTAGGAATCTGAAAGCTCTACCACTAAGATGCCTTTTACCGTTGGTCTCCATGTTCAATAGTGTAGGAAAAAAGGAGCTAGATCGATTTAGTCTAACAATGATAGACGTTGCCTAATTATCTTCACTGTTTTCATTTTTAAACAGAAAACAAAGCACTAATGAAACCTGCAGCTTCGTGAGTTTATTTTTCATAATCTAGGATATGTTGACAGAATATTTAAAGGTGCTAAGTAGTTTGGCTCCCTGTTCAAAAATTGAAGTACATAAGGAAATTAGGCAACAAGAAATGATGTCAGGCTTATTCCGTATAAAGCCGTTTAATCGGGTATACTTTAACCATACTCATATTGCTTCCAAGACTACCTATCAAAGGCTCACATCACAAGTCAGAGTTGTTCAGGGCAGGTCTATTATTAAGGGTGGTTGGAATTGGGTATTTCCTCTTCAAATGACAAATACACAGTGAGTAATGTTAGATCTGAAATGAAAATTTAATTTAAGTAATAAGTTTTCTCAGTTTCAATCATAGAGTACAATAGAGGCGCAATGTACTGGAACGCCGCGCCGATCAAGTCAATCCATGAACGGGCCATCTGGAGCCCCTTGTTTGCCGGAAAGTGGGAATTATCAGCGAACTATTCGCCATTTTTTAACACGGCGGCTCATGGGAGAATCACAGGCCGCAAGTGGTTTTCAGGATTTATTCATTAATCAATCATTATTAACACGAATTTTGGCAAATTGTGTCCACAGAAGTCATAACAATTTCAAAAATGTACAACACTCCCGGTTTTTATGTAATACATTTTATACCTGTATTTTCTGAGCGTTGACCGGAGCTGGGACCTTGCGCATGCAGCATCGCCAGTCGCCGCACACTAGTCTCAGGAGTACTAGACAAAACAGCCTCTAAAAGTGACTTCATCGGCGCTCCAGAACATCGCTACTCTATTGTAGTACATGGTTTCAATAATGTGTTCAGTGTGCATGCTAATCTATAGATAAATCTTAATCAAACAATGTTTTTTGGCGCAGGTGAAACTAAAATGTATTCAAGGAGGACCCTCAAAAGTCTCTTTGTACTTACTTGAACCGGATACTTGCAAGTACATTCTTGGCGTGGAAGCCAGCATAATCTGTCGACTTTTGCCCCATGCAGATGAAAACGGGCTATTTCAGCTGCCACAGGATGAAACCCAAGATATTGATCTCACTTCTCTCTAATTTGAATTTGTTAAATTTCATAAGTTTTGCACCTCATCCGCTCAGACCAACAAACATTTTTAACATTGTTGCTGCTAGCTGTGTGATTCTCTCTTCAAGTTCAAGGAGCTTTTTAGAGGTACACATAAAAAGTTGATTGTGATTAATTTTGTGGCAATGATGACTGTTCAGGTCCTTTTGTTAATAATTGTTGAAGTTGTTTCCAGTCGCTTTGTTTTGTACAGATCATATCTAACCTTGATTAAGTCTGAAAAGTATCAGTTCTGTAAATAATACATCTAGTCTTTTTTTAAAGTTATTAATTCCTCCCTATGATTTGAGGTTTGTCAATCAAGCCTTGAAGTTCGCTCAAAGATTTTGCATTCAAGTCCTTATTACAAGAAAGAGCTGGTGACAATTGTTGAAACCTAAAGCCATTTTATTTCGCAAGCAAGGTTTGATATTCATAATGAGTATTTCTCGAAGAGCAGTGCTGTAAGCTATGAATGATTGCAAGTATGAATTTGGCTCTAGCATGATTATATTTGATAGGTCCTCCCCATCAAAATGTAAACTATAAGAAATGCATTAATTGATAGCTAAAATCTTTACGTAAAGCAATTTTGCAGCTTTTAAACTCAATCGAAAGTAATATGCAAGATGCTCTTGTCATAGTCCATTCAATTAAATGAGACAGAGTAAAATAAAAAACATGTCCATATGCACAGAGAACTGGAACTTCTGATTTCTACAATGACCTGTTAGCTCTGGACAGGGCCCATTGTGGTGTTGTTCTCATCATGTCCACGCAGGGTCTGGCCATGCCGATCTGTTCTTCGGCAATGTCATTCTCTGGCCACGGGTGCAAATTGTCCTTCAGCCCTCATCGGAAGTAGCAACTAGGACCTCTAGCTTGTTGCAATAATTTTGGTATGAAAATAAGCCCACCTGCCATAATTTTCGTAACCGTTGTCACGCCTGAAGTCTTTTCTGTAAATAACAGCGCAGTAGCCTGTGGAAACTAGGCCATGAGAAAGGCTCTGTAAGGATACAATAGGAATAATACCTTAATTAGCTTGGTCTGCGGTTAGAAAATCATTGCAGAAATTACATGTTGGAATTCTCTGTATGTCCATGAGTGCCCTTTATTTTACTCTGTCCAATTTAAATGTTCAGACCACACTGCCATGCCAAGGAATTACAAGCAGCCAAAGTTCCTTTGATGAGTGTAAATTTTTAGGGAAACCTGTGAATATTTTTCTTTGAATTTTTCAGAGAATTGTACTTGTAATCAGATCTAAATTATCTGAAAATTATGAGAGCAAATATTCATTACTCTGGAAAACATAAATTTTCTCGGCAATAATTTGGCAACTCTTGATTGTTCATACGGCGTTTTTCCTTAGCAAGGCAGTATAGGTAAATCAATGTCCAAAGCATGGGAAAACTATGTCTGGTTGGCTATTTACTAATAAGAATTTCAAAATTACCTATGCCGTTGTGAGCGTTTATTGTACTGTACTAGAGTTGCACATCAGTAAAGTTTGTCCCTTGAACCTGCCGTAGGATCAGCATCATCATAATCTCAATTGGACGTATTTAAATCAAAAGGAATTCGATCTATTCTTACATGAGCCCTAAGATCTGTAAGAATACATGCATGACAGGACCCATGTCACGGTGAATATAGTTCCTTTTGATTTAAATGCGTCCAGTTTTGAAATATCTAATCATGCAATGAGATGATGTTTTTAATTTAAGCCTAGGTAAATTTCTGTGTTTTAAGTTTATGAATGGAAGGTTTTCTATGATCTCCAATCAAAAAGACCAAAATCTTTGCATTCTCCAAAACACTCCTCACTTTTTGGTCAGTAGTATTCCTGTTATCCAGATTCTCTTATGCCAGCCTAAAGTAAACAAAGCCTAATTAAACTGGGTACACATTAGCTTGATCAAGTGAGGTAGGTTTCCTCCAGTGTGTTTGGACAGGTAGTTTTAAGTTGGTTAAGCTGAGTCTTAATTCATTTCTTCTGGGTTTCCTTGTACATAACATAAATGAACCAAGTTTACTAGAAATGCACAAAGTTAGAAAAAATCGCATTTTAGACTAAGCAAGTTTGGTGTAATTCTGAATTGAACTCGTTGTGCACTGTCTGATGTAAAAATTTTTAGTCAAGAAAAATGTATTGAACATCAACAAGTCATTAAAATTTGTCTTTAACATTGAGTCTTATGGAAAAATAAAACTGAAAACCTCTTTCTTTTGGTCCAATTTTGATGCAACTTGATGCATTTCTGCTGAACTCAGTCTAAATGTTCTCAGTCTGATGTACCTCCAAGGAATAAAATTGGTCACATTGTATTCCAGTCTTTCTCTTAATCTTTGATGACTTTTTTTCTTTTACTTACTTCTAAAATTTGGCAAAATAGTCATTAAGTACCACTCATGGTTTTCTTTTAGATTTTGATGAGTATCAACCTTTTTCCAGTGTGCAGTTGCTGTTCAAGAATTATTTTCTCTGACCTCTCTCTGGTCTATAGTTGAAAGTAGTCTAAAGGTTTAAAATAAGGAAACTTAAAGGAAACATTTTTCCTCAATTTGATACATGCATTGTCATAACTCTAAAAATAATTTTTGTCCTGGCAAGATTTTTGTAATTTCTGATGGATGGTTATGACCTGAGGAATTAAATTTAAAATTCAATTTTTCTTCTTTATTGCTCCTGAATGAAGAAGAAAAAACGACTTAAAATAATTTAACAAAAAGTTTAAATATTGAAAATTGTGTCTATGTTTTTTTTATCATTTGAAGAAAACATAAATCTATTGTGCCCTCAGTTTTTGAAAAAAATTGTTTTGGTTGTTTTGTATTGAATGTGGTACAAACCGTTGTTCCTTTTTGTAATTAAAAATTTGTACTTATTAAAGTCTTGACTTTCTTCATATCAAGAGAGTATCATTTAAATTACATTTTTCTAAGATTGGCGGTTCCTGACAAAAACAATGGATATGTACTTTTCATGAGGAAATTTTATTACTTTATGTATGAACAAGTTTGATGCGCAGAGCTTGTGGTATTTGCCATTTTTACTGATATCTTTTAGGAATTGGAGAAAAATAGATTCTAAAGTAAGAAAATTTACTGCCTTGTGACATCATAGGGTGGAATTCCTATTTTCACCTATGTATTTTAGTAAAATAGATCATTCTGCTGTACGTAATTCCTCCAAAAATTTTATATTTAGAAATCAAGGATATTCTCAGTCTCAATTCACTCTGTAATTCTCAGTTTATAATTGAATTTCATCAAATTCCAGTCATTTGTAAATTTTCCATTAACCTTTACAAGACTAATAATCTACCTTTGATAGTAATCAAGCAATGATAATATTACGTCCAAGTTTCGAAATTAGTTAATTTTTAACTATCCTAAGCATGGTGGAAAATATCTCGACTTTCCTGAGGCAAAATAGAATTTAACTTACTAATTAAATTTAATCATGTATAATCATATTTAAAATACTTTCCAAATCAAATATTTGTATTTTATATCAGAACAAACTGCAGAGCAGCAACAAACACGTTTTTAATCTAATAGAGCAGCTCAGAATTGATGATAAAGATTCCTTTAATTAATTTTCCTTTTAATGAAGAATCTCACTTTTAATCCTACGCATATGACAAGTGAACATAACTGAACGGAGGTGGTTATGCAGACTTTTATTCTTACCCATAAAAACTTGGATTAGTATACTTCCAAAAAAGATTGGACTCTTGAGTTTGAAGTTAATATTTCTCTATCACTGATAGCTTTGTGCCTGAGGATGGTAAGCATAAGTATAGCTATGCTTATCTCTGGTTCGAGCAGAGCACCATTTTAGGGGATAGCAGGGCTCATATGATAAATTACATGTTTCTAATAACATTTCAAATTCTGGTAAGCGACATTTTGGAACTAAGAGTATTGATCAGCTCCAGTTTTAATTTAACAGGCAGGTACAGGAGAGTGCTTGTCAAATATAGCCACAGGTTGAGGCTGTAACAAGAGGTGTCAGATTTGGGCCTGAGATGTGATAAGATAAGTTTCCTCTCCTCTGAAAATTAGGGATAGGTAGGTAGCTGCTGAATACCGTTACCCATTTACTGAGACCCCCTACGCTCGCACGCTTTCATATTATTTTTCTAGCCAATTACGCTAGCCAATTACCCTCTTTTAAAACAATTATTATAAGTAAGTAATTACTTATTCAAGCCAGAGTCTTGATTTAATTTCCCAATCCTGATTAGTAGAGCTTAGGTATGAGTTGTCAGTAAGTGCTGCAACCCATCCAAAAAAAAAAAAAAAAAAATAGTTGAATTTTGCAAAAATCTTGCAAAGTTTGGTTTTGGTCACATTGCATTTTGCTTTTATTACCCGCATGATATTTTATTATTATTTTTGGGTTGTACGCAGAAGCACCTAGGTATTCGCTCAAGGGAATTGATGACGTATTTGTTGTTTCTAAAGCGGATCAGAATTAGCAGTTTCTCACTGCAAAATGTGGTCCTTTTACAAAATTTAACTATATAATAATAATAATAATATATTTTTATGTGCAAATGCAAATTTTTCAACGTGTTTCAACATATCTGTGAAAAAGTGCTCCCGGTGTGGCCTTCAACTTTTGACAGCCAAATGAACTTGCTGCAGATATACAGGCTGATGAATTTTGCCCTTGACTATCTGAAAAGTCAGTATTCTGGAGCCAGGATTTGGAATTTTCCAAACCGGAGGATTTTCCCATTTTCCAGCTGTGTTGAGTCTACAATCTCTGACGTCACGATTGTCACGTCATGACGTCACTCTTCAATCGTTAGTTTTCCAAAAATTACCACCATCATCATCACGCCGCTTTCCGCCATCTTCTTTCTCGCACTTTATCAAGCGGCGTCCGTGGCACGTTAGTTAGGTGGGAAGTGTCGGTAATTCGTTATTTTAACTTTTGACTTTTGACTTTTACCTTTATCCTATAGCTAACTAGTGAATTTGCGCAATATGGACAATAGAGACATCAAAAGAGATCGGTATGTAGAAGCTCTTCACTCTTGTTTGTTTGGTTAGACAGGCCGACTTTCTCAACACTCAACCTCCTTAATTTTTTTAATTCTATCAATGCTATGCACCACATAGTTGCAGAACCCTATCCATTTCTTCTATATCTATTGATAGGCCCATTTGCCGACAATAAGTGAAGGGAACCAAGCGGCCGATTCCTTGGAAGGCCAACTACGAGATCACTAGCCATTTTTTCGCATCAGCTCAGACCGATATTTATTTTATAATCCCTCTGTATTCAGCTGCTCTGGGTGAAGGCTGCACAAATGTTTACTTTTATTTTATGTAGACTAGGCGCGGCGCGGGTGGTAAATGAAGAACAAGAGCACCAAGCCAATTGTTGATAGCATGATAGCTGGACCCTTTTCACGATATCAGCTCAGTGACTATACTATAAGTACTGGTTACTCAGTTGAACATTCTGGCATTGTGCAGTATTTTCTCACAGTTATTGTCAGCCAAATTTTAAACATGTAAGTACTCAGGCGGTTCTTCCTTCTTTTTCTCCGATTTTCAAATCCGAACTGATATACGCTCAGCTCATGTACATTTGTAATTTTACACACCTCCAAGGAAACGAGGTGGAAGTGGCACCCATGTATAGTGAGGTTTGGTGATTGTAGATTCTAACCTCTAGTTGGGTACAGTGCTTTCATAAATTCTTCTGAATGTTTACAATTAATTTCTTTCAGATCTGGCAGCAGAGACCGTGACCGATCCAGGAGAAACGACCGACAGTCAAATTCTGGCGGTATGCGAGATCGTAGCCCTCTATCCAAGAAAAGTGGCGGGGTTGGTGATCGCAGAGTGTATGTCTCCAACATTGCCTATGACTACAGGTGGCAAGAATTGAAGGATTTATTCAGAGAGAAAGGTAAAGCAATTAGAATTACTAAATTGTAACTGCTTTTATCCAACTCATGAATTGACTAAAGTATCACTGGCAAGTTGTAATTTGAGCCACTGCCCTTGAAACCCTCAGCTTAAGATGATTCTTTGTGATTTAAGGACAAGATCCGTCTCTCCACAGCCCTGCCTCATTGTTTGCGTCTTTGAGAAGCAATAATTATTGTTACTCACGAGTTAATGTAAGAAAGTAATATTCACTCTAATCTTGTTCTTATAGTCGTTGAATCAGGATATATCCAAAAATGAAATTTCATCAGGTTCTTTAGCCAATCTAGTCAGAGCCAGCTTAGCCTAGTGTAGCCAGTGTTGCCCAGAAGTTTGAGTTCTGGTAGCTTGAAAGTGACCGCAGTACCTTCAATAGGTCAGTTGCACTGGTCACAGAATTGTGTATTGATGCTTGATTCCTGCAGAGTAGCGAAAAATAATAATATCTCTCCAAACCACAACTTTCTATGTTCAATATTGATCGAGATATCGCCCTTTGAGAAGTCAGGCTTTTGACGTCATCCACCGCGGCGGTGACACCCTTGGTTTCTTACCGTTTTGTTTGAATGCAGAGGGTGCAACGCGAAACTTCAACGACAAACAAATTCAAGAAACAGACGTATTTGCACTTTGAAGATCTTCTTATCAGGAGATAACGCACTTGCCGCGAAGAGATTAGGCGGTCAGTCAGTTCACCTCAGTTTGTTTACGTTTAAGGTTGTTGAAATTTCACGTTTGACCCTCTGCATCACTGATCGAACAAAAGAGGAAGAAACCAAGGGTGTCATTGTCGCAGTGGATGACGTCCATAACACGACTTTTCAAAGCGCAATGTCTCTGTTATTATTGAATGTAGAAAGTTGCGGTTTGAACTGATCTTTTATTTTCAGCTAACCTACAGGAATCAAGCATCAAAACACGATTATGTGACTAGCGCATCTGACCCATTTTATTATGACTTTGTCTACTAATAAATGTAATGTAATGTATCACAAATTCAATAAGAACAGAGGCATGGAGTGTGCAGTATGAGTTCATGTATTCTTTCACTTCATATATTAATGACATGGATTTTTTTTCCAGTTGGTGAGGTAGCATTCGTAGAGTTATTTGTCGATGAAAATGATAAGCCCAGAGGCTGCGGCATAGTTGAATTCCACTCTCCTGAATTAGCCCAAAAAGCCGTTGAAAAAATGCACCGCTATGAACTGAAAGGTCGCAAACTGGTTGTCAAAGAGGTCTGTTCTTTTTTCCTTTTTTTTCAAAATGAAATAGTGAATGTGATTACATGAAACTGTATCCTAAATTTTCTGGGATGGATATTTTTTCTGTCATCTCATCACGTTGAGTTAAAGCTAGAAAAAAAGAAAAAAATGGAGACAGAGACGGAGCGAAGTGAACAGATGAGCGGCAAAATGTATGAAGGAAGGGAGTTGACGGGAGCGGCAAAGCTGTCGCCCTCTAGGTCCGGCCTCGAGCGCTAGGATGATCGTTCGTTGGAGTGCGATCCCAGGGGAAACTAAACAGCACGGCAATTTTTAACATCGAGGCAGACTTGACAATCAATTTAGACATCGATGCTCTGGTTGACAGCTTTGCTAAACTGAAAACCCAGAGAAAAACTTTTTAACCTGATCTTCCGAAAATACATTGCAACTAATACATTGAGCTACACTAGCTTCAACTTTGTCTCCACATTTTACTTTTGTCTCATCCATCCATTCCATTTTATATATTCGCGGCGCATTTTGAAGCAGCTACGCGCACGCGCCCAGGCGGCGCACGAGGGGGGAGGCAGATGAGATGGCATGGGAAGTTGGGAGTGCGGAGAGGGGGAGGGGGAGGAGGGGATACTGTTGACAATATAGTGGCGAAATATTGCAGACCCAGGGGCGGCAAAATGTAGCTTGCCCAGGGGCGGCAAAAAGCTAAATCCGGCCCTGGGGATCAAGTCAATCTCATGTTTTTACTAGTTGAATGATTATTTACTCTCTGTTTCATTAGATATCATTTCCCATGTTTTCATTCATGTTTTAGTCTTATAACACAGTAAGACCTCCACTCATCGGATTTGAGTTAACAGATTTTGTATTGTAATGGATTGCTTCAGCAGTCCTGTGTAATTGGATAATCGAGGTCTTAGTGTGGAAAAAAATACCCAATTACTTGTTGAAATAATTTGATCACATCTAGTTTAAATTTTTTTTTATTCATATCCTTTTGGAGGGTGTGATTAATTTTATCCCCGGTCTGTTTCTCTTCTTTTCTTGAAAGGATTGATAGGAAAATTGGTCGCTGAAAAAGTGCACTTCTCCAGAAAAAACAGATTGCCAAGATACAAACGATTCCTTGCGTGTAACGTAGACTCAGAAATTTTGAGAATCATTTTAAAACTTGTGAAATATTGGAAATACTGTCTAGTGAGGTTTGTCAAGTGTCAAGGAAAGACTCGATCATAGCTTAGATGGGATTGAAATTTTCATGCGGGTTAATATAATACTGTAGGTTACAAGTAGGGTGTTAGCCACTTTGATATTAAACAATTAAACATGAGACTGCATTTCATTGAAATTTTTCTGTACTTGCTGCTTGCAAAGCAGTATTCAAGAATAATAAAATGCTCTTTTTTCCATCTCCTGACTTTCTGAACGTGTTCTCATTTGCCTTATCTAATGATATGATTTCCCCTATTGATATGTGACTGAGCCACAATAACAACAGTTCAGACCCATCCGATGTCTCAATCAGAGCATTTCAGTCCATTAAGTGGAGTCAGGGGTCAAAAACAATTTGTTTCTATTCTGATAAAGAGATTTCACATAGCTGATGTTTTTCTGAGAAAAGTCCTGAATTTTTTTAGCTTAAGAAGAGGTGCCACTCATACATGGGCAGTTTCGGTTAGGTTAAGATTGAGGAAGCATGTTCAAACGGTGGGCCGAGCTGCAAGTTTTACCGCATGATGCTCCGCTCGAATAGCCCTCCACATTGGAATCACGGGTGGGTGTAAGGGATACTTTGAAGCGATGTATAGACATGGCACCATTTCCTAGGAATGAGAAAAACTATTTGTGCAACTGAGTGAGTTAGCTGGCCCAGCATGGCTGGCAGTTGAGCAAACAGTTATCTGATGTTGTAATGGCTTCATTCTCTCCCCAATTTAAGTGTGCATTTCTCTTTGCAGAACTTCGATGTTGAACGTGACAAGCAAGGCCGCCCTGTTGGTTTTGGTGGTAGATCAGTTCGAAGCAATGAAAGAAGTGGAGGTGGCGGTGGTGGATCAATGAACAACCACAGTAATTGGAATGATCCCCCCATGAACAACCAAAGTGGTGGGAACAAGTATGGAAATACTTACGGACTGTCCCCACAATTTTTAGAGTCTCTCTGGATCCAAGGACCTCTAACCAACAAAATCTTTGTTGCCAATGTAAGTATTTTCATTTTAATGACTTAACTTGTAAGCAAGATATCAATTCAATCATGGCTCATCATTTTTGATTGAAAAATTTGAGAAGTCTCTTTGTTATCATCAGGTGCGTAGGAACTTCTCAAGGATGCAATCTGCTGGTTGTGTTCTTAATTAGGAAATCCATAGGAAGAAAAGCTGAAAATGGGAAATATGTGGAAAAACAGTCTTCAAAATGAGATGGTTGCAAATGTGTCTTTTGATTCTGGATAGGCTGGTTGAAACGAGCTTATATTATTAACAGAATTGCCGAAAATTAGAATAAAAAGCAGATCAAATTGAGCCTATGCCTGTTGAGGCATACATATATTTATTGGAAATGTTAAATTGAAGTATGAAGATAATGATTTTGGAGGTATGAATGTGACTACTTTGATGACATCATTAATGAATGCTACATTATCAACGGTAGGTGTGATGATGTCATCAACAGTTGACATGATGCTGTCATTAAAGGGTGCCTGCATAATGTATCAGCCAGAAATAATTATATTAGCTTGAAATATCAGAAAACACTCGGATGAATTTTGGAAGCAGTTGGTGGTTCTACCAGCAGCAGGGAGAGGAGAGGTGGGAGAAAATATTGGATGGAGAAGGTAATCAACATTTCCCAATAATTTAGTAGAATTGATTGCGCAAAATTAATTTTCTACTCTCTTTTTCTCTTTACAAGATTTTCGTAGTGAGGGAAAACGGAGAATATCAGGGAATTCTAAAAAGTCAGGGAAAATAAGAAAATGTGAGGCAAAAATTGTTAAGTCATCTTTATTTGCTTTCTAGAATGGGTTTGATGCTTTGCACAACAAATTTTGTGTGAAAACTGTGTCAAATTATGTCTGTAATAAAAAATGTCAGAGAATTGTACCAAAAATTGTCTGGGAAAGCAGGGAAATTAATTTCCCAAATTCCGTGGCAACCTTATTTTTAAATATTTGTTGATTCTTTTAAATTTTCTGTTCCAGCTGGACTATAAAGTGGACGAAAAAAAATTAAGAGAAGTGTTCAAGCTAGCTGGCAAAATAGTAGATTGTGACCTGAGTGTGGACAAGGATGGTAAAAGCCGAGGTTTTGCTGTCATCGAATATGATCATCCTGTTGAAGCAGTACAAGCTATCTGTATCCTTTTTCAAGTCTCTAAGCCAGTGGTGTAGAAAGTGCCTGATCTAGCAACCCTAGTAATGCAGCAAGTTGCTTGTTCTGGAACTACAAACACGTAGAAAATCATTGAAATCATTCCCTGCTGCAGGTCTAGGATTATCGTACAAACTTTTTCTGTGTGGCAAAACAAATGGCAATTGTGGACAAATTCCACTAATTTATCCTCAATTTTCTCAATTCTTCCACGTATTTAGCATATAAGCCTGATGGAGGCTGGTCAGCCTCTTGCGAGACACATTTTATCGATAATTCTTTCCTTATTTATGTGAGGGGGCAAGAAAACACTTCTCAAACACCAAAATTCCGTGTACTTACAAACAAGAGTCGGGCTAAACCTTGTAATTGTGGAGGAGAAATAGCAACAGCCATCTTCGAGAGATTTGGAAGGAGGATAATATTTACTGCCGTAAGAAAGATAGATCTGATTAAAAATTTGAAGGAATTAATTCAATGGATTTTTATATCATTATCATCAGTGTTACTTCTTTCCACTCCTAATATGTGATTTGTAGAAAGAGAGGGATATTCTGTCACTAATTCTGATTAGAATATCGCTTGTTTCCATCGAAAAGTATCTCCCTTAACAAATTTTCAGCTATGCTCCATAATCAAGTACTGTATGACCGGAGGCTTATCGTTAGATTAGACCGAGTAGAAAAAGATGGACCCTCCAAGCTACCGGAAGGTCTGAAAGGGATTGGAATGGGGCTTGGTGCAAATGGAGCACCTCTAACTGATGTTGCACGTGAGTAGTGTTCCAATCTTAGTTAATTGAAGATATTTACAATCAATTCTATCTGCATTTGTCTGAAAACGTTCAATGCAGTCACCTAGAAAAGTCAAGTTCAGAGCAGAATTTTGATTTTCTGATATGTTTTTCTCATGAACCTGCCTCTCAGTAAACTCCCTTTAAAGGCAAATTGTTTGCAACCAAAAGTCAATTATTTTTGTAGGTCTTGTTAAATATCCATGAAGACAAAAGAGTTTATGGATAATTTAAATCACCAAAAAAGTTACTGTTTCTCATCTGGAGCAAAAAACCCCGCACAGGACAGGGGGCCCAGTGGCTCTCCATACATCTTGATGAAATTTTAATAGATGCTCTACAGCTCTCAATCCCTATTGATACCTTTGCTCCGATCTACACCTATTCTGTATGGATAATTCATTTATTATTTTTTATCTGCAACTCATAGTCATTAATCAGGCATAAGAGTATGCCTAATTTCTGTACATGTGTGTGCCGTAGTTTAACCTTCTACAACAATAAGGTTTTACTCAGCTATTTGGCTTAACTCATGTTTGCGATTTATAAGATTTATAGGTATGGCCTTTTTCCTAGCTTTGATACCTGATTGTAGATTAATCAAATGAAAGCTCTTTGACTTTGGCTTTATGTTGTTTCCCAACTGATAATATTTAAATGAATTCTGTTAAAATCGTCAGAATTATTAGCTAGGTTTGAGCACTAATCATAGGTGCCTGAAGATTTTGAGTTCAGTCCTAATAAATTTTAACACAAGTACCACAAGGAAAAAATAGTCTAAAGGAAATCGATCAATAGGTAAAATCTTGATTAATCCTGGCATGGGATTGATAGCTGCTATCACCGCTTGCAAAGAACTTTATTCTATCACAATCATGTTCTTCAAATATTTGTCTTTTTTTTTACAGGGAATATACCTAATATCTCTCAGCCAACCATTTCTGCTCAAACTCTTGCCCAAAACACAGCATCTGTCCCATCTGCTTTAGCTGCACTAGGTACGTCAGTTGAGTATTTTAAGAGAAATTCTTTTTGAATGACTAATTTCTGGATTTAAATGTTCATTGCTATAGTAGGTCCAAGAGCAAGTCATTTGCTCTGGGAACACCCTGCTAGGCTCTTGGGTTTCTATATTTCCGCATCCATTGTTATCTTCTTCAGAATTTTCTGTTATATCATGATGAAAAATTATTACTTATCATCTGCGTTGATAAATTTTTGTAATGTTTTTGAGTTTAGTGGGTAGTGTTGTTTGAAAGCAAATTAAGTGAGACCACATCTTCCCAAATTTCATAGGACAATTCATTCTTTTTTTTGAGTACAATTGTACTAATTTTCTTGAAAATTTCAAGGAATTTTCTGCTGTCTCCTTTCGAGAACCACAGCCTAAGTAGAGCGGAGACATCGTATGTTGAGATAAATGTCAATCTCTGATTACCTCTGAATCAGCACCACTCAGCAGGTTAATACATGCAGTCAGATGGCACCACTGAAGAGTGGTGGCCTAAACAATCTTTGACTTTTTTCTCAACATAAGATGTCTTTGCTCTAGTGACACAAAGAGGTTTCTTGTATCAGATGGTTCAAGGATCAGTATTTTAAATTAACACTCTGGAAATCCACTCAAATCTAGCTCATTGTTGTTCTCCATCTCTTTTCCTCCTTTCAATTTCAAAGACTTGTCATAAAATCAACCGTATCCATTTGTAATTTTAATTTTTTTGAATTGGTGACTTTTCTAGGAAATAATCCAGCAGTTGCACTTGCTGCAAATCAGTTAGGAACTGGACAATTGCAAAGCTGTAAGTTTCATTTTTTCATAAAAAAGTTCTCTTTTGCCATCCTTGTTACTGATGAGCATACATTAAGTCAGAAGTAAGAAGGTATCATCGTTAATGTGAAACTCACTTTTTGCAAAATTTTTTGAATATGCACTAATTATTTTATGCACACATTTCTTTACAAAGTGGAACTGTCAATGATTATTTTTACTTAGTTTCCTGCTGGCTGATTATTGAAAATTTAAAGCAGCATGTTAAGACATTGAAATGTGATATGTTGCATTATTAACATAAGGCTACGTTTTGTCGCGTCTTGTCGGATCATCATAGATTCAATAATCAGCCTGCGGTACTGACAGTTTTGTCCGCACGAGCGTAGTTTGGAGGAACTAGTTCTGCAAACTGGGGAGTTTGAGGAACAAGTCATAGCTGAGTTATAATAAGTTCCTGGAACAAGCTCGTCTGAAGTTCTGCGTATCGTGCTCCTGTGGACAAGGTCTAAAGCACAAACCAGCAGGAACAAAAGTAATAGAATATCTATATAGGAAGTGGATAACAAGTTTGTAAAAATTGCAAACATGTAGCTCATGTCACACTTTCCATTGACTCTAAAGCAAACTGACACTAATGAGAGAGCCTTTCATGAGATGTTGAAGAATTTTTCATGGCAAAACCACCTGTCCAATAGGGAAAAGTTTGTTGTGAAGCAGAATTTGCTTATGACTTAGGCTGGAAACACGTCATACTGCAATGTTTTGCGTCACCTAAAAGTACTGGTTCGTTGGGAAAGTGATTCGAGTGAGACTTCTCCCTATCTTAGATGGCATAGGTATTGACTGCTTTTTGGAGCCTGTCATCATTTAGCCAAAAAAAACATACTGACTCTCAGCTCAAATTTTGTGCAAACTTAATGTGAGTTCAAATACAGAGAAGATGGCCGTGGCATAAAATTAACTGATAACTTGTGATTGCATTTTTTTATCTGCTAAAATAATGTGGTTCTCTACATAATGCTAATAAGATGTAAAAATAAATTGGCCAAGATTGCACCCTACCTTCAATGCCACTTGCACCGATTGCATCAAGATGCTTTTGTGTGGGTATAAATATTTCCAAATGTTTGTTAGTGAGCTCAGTCAAATGTTTGCTTTCGATTTGAAGTTGGCTAATTATAATGTCAGTTAATTTGTATAGCTCTAAAAATAGATATGTGTGTTTCAATTCAGTCCAAAAGTTTTCATACAAAAGCATGACACCTTGTCGCCTACATTTAAAAGCACTTAAACCTGCACCGAGACTGTGTCAGAAAACATTAAAAGTATTTTATACTATTTTTTTTAAAGGTGTGCTCGTGTTTCAGAATTTACTACACATTTCTGGTAAAATAATTCCCCGCCAACCCCTTGTCTCCACAAAGCGTTTCGTGGGATTTGTCCTTGGGAAAAATCGCATTTGCGAAATTTGGAAAAATATTGAGTTAGTCTATACTAATCACTGTACCAACTTAGAATTCTTGTGGAGTCCCAGGAGCGACTTCAAAATAAGAAGAAGAAATTTTTTTGGGTTTTTTAATAGGGGATAAAGCCCAGAAGTTTCATTCCTGCGATAGGAACTCAGGAAAAATCCCGTGAAACGTCCCATGGAGATGAGGCATGAGAAAAACAGAAAGAAGCCTCTTCTTCAATTCAATTCTTCTTTCCAATTTTTGCTCCAATAATCTGTCAATTAAACTTCCATGTCCAATTCCTCTTTTGTCAGAAATGTTATCAATTGTTTTGAAGACTCAAATTAACTCCTAATTGTTGAATTTAATCTTGTTTTACAGTGGGTTCTATCAGTAATTTGATTGGTGCTGCTGCTGCAGCGAATCCCACCGACCTCTCCAGTTTGATCTCAAATAATTACAGTGGTGGTTTAGCAGGATTAGCAAGTGCTGCAAATCCTGTGGCGACAGGGTTAGGTAACAGCTTGTTGACAAATTCTGCTGCTTTTGGAGGTGCAGCAAGAGGAGGTAAATGTTGGAGATTTTTAGTAAATTTTTCAGATTTAAGAAAACGTGCAACCATAGCTATGGTCTTTTGTGGCTCTGTTTTTTTTATGTGTGATTGTCAATTTTCACCGTATCAAATTTTGTGTTTGTTATGATGAGATATCTTTCTTGTACGTTCTTATCATGAGAGGAACAGAATGAGTAGATTCTACAGAAAGGAATCCATCCTATATCAATCATTGGCAAATCTCCTCTCATTTGTTACTTTTCACATGAGAATCAATTGGTGTTACGTCTACATATTTTGAACTGGCTGTCTTAATACTTAATTCTGCTTGCTTTCCACCTATTTGGTTCGTTACTTTATTTTAAGCAAAATTACTTAAGACCCC